TTTCTGAAAAATAGAAGACATTTAGAAAATTAGAAAAAATCCATTTCGTTAGTTCATTTTTAGAAAACTGTTCTATTTAACAGAACGGTTTTTCCTGCTTAGAACGGTTTTCTAGTTTTCTGGAACAGGGCTGACGCTGCTCACTTGGCTGAAGCAACCGGCTGCCCATAAGGCCATAACCACCATATTTTAATTTTAATCCAATTCGCTCAAAGCATGCATCCTATTTCCGGCTAGGGTGACCGTCTAGGATGGGATTTTTCTCAAAAATACTTGTTCGCTTTCCTATAACGGGCAATAAACATTCCTAGCTGATTGTTCGAGTGATTGATCACAGGAAGGCTTCTACATTTATCTGGAGATTTTCAGTTTCTTTTTGCGTACTTTATGAAAACTATGGCACAGCCTCTGAGTTAAGTTGTACGAAAGAAGCATTATGCAAAAAGCAACAATCGTTTAGGGTTCGGAAAAACTGGCATTTATAAACTGAGAGATCTCAAAGCTGCAAGAACTATGTAATTACTAAAATAAACTGATCTTATTTCCACAGCCTTCATTCGACAAAGTGGTGTTTGAACTCAGTTTGCAAAAACGCTCTGCTGGGACTTATGCGATCTTTAGGTAAACCCATCAAAGTCTTTCCCTGGAGACTGGATTTGCTGCATCTCGCTTTGACGTTGTAGTGCGGGGAACTATGTAGTTAATCAGTATAACTCGTATAAAAATATCTGCTTTTCCCATACGCGTCGTAATCCCGCGAAGCGTTTTCATGATTATTTTAAAGTTAAGCTGTAAAAAGTGCTATTAATTATTGGTGCTCGACGAAAGTTGTTCAACGGCGTCATCGCAGTCAGTATAAAGCTAGCGTTTGCCGGTTATCGCCATAACTAAAAGCTTTCCTTTGGTCCGCAGCGCTTCAGTCGTCATGTGTGACGATTTCCACCGAGTTTGCTCCGATGGACAACGGAACAGCGGATCGCCGAAAGTTAACGATTTCATTGTCAGCGTCAACGAAAACGCACCTTACAGCTATCAGGTGGCTGCAATCTCAAATGGATCAGTTTGCTTTTGTGGGATATTAGTATCCGTTTTACGAGAAGTTGCAAATGCGCTGCAAGTGAGGTTGGTGACGACAGATTTCCTACCGCTTCAAAAATTACTTACTACTAGTATTTGTATTCTTCAGCCTCGCACTGACGGGTGCACATAGAACTGCTCCACAATCAGAAATTTTGGAGCAGTCTTATTTCTTGCACATTCAGAAATTGCTCCAGTGGTTGCAGGCTGACTTGGCTACCCGACCGAAATCCGGCAGAATACAACACCTCCTTGGGTGGTCCACCGGTAGATGTGCAGGAGAGCCGCGCGGATATTAGTCTGTGCCCATTATCGATGACTCCAGAACGCAGTTCTGACTTTAACATGGTGCCGCTCTACTTCTCGCGAACCTACCAAATCGGCGTTCATGTTCAACATGTAAAGACGGGCGAAACGCAGCCTGTTCTCAACGGACTAGCAAGCAGTTTCGATAGCAAGACCTGGTTGTGTATTGGTTTTGCGTCTTCATGGATAATTGCTGTGTTCTGGCTGACCAACGTCTTCGTCGTAATCCGTTCCAGAACGACAAGCATTTTCAGCGTATCAGACCGCTTACGACGAATATCGATGAAGAGCTTCACGAAGAGCTTTCTGGAAATTACCTACCTGACCTTTAATCAAGGCAGGGTCAAAATTTTTTTTCTTTTTCGTCCAAACCAGTCATGAAAAGTACGAACATAATATCGAATCTTTTGCAGCTGATGTAAGTCCTCCGAAAGTCGTCGTGACGTACAAGTTACTTATGATGATATGGCTTATATGGACCCCGATAATAATAAATACGGTTACGTCGTCTTTAACCGCCACGCTTAGTGTGAGCGTCTCCACGCTCCCCTTTACTTCACCGGACACCTTGACTGCTTCCGGGTTTCGTGTTATAAAGCGCAATAACTTTGCCGAGCTTTCTGGAGACAGAGCTGATTTCGCGAGAATGTGGCGAAATGCCGTCACATTTGAAACCGGCAACACGGATGATGTCTTGCTCGATATGGCGGCTAGTACATCCCGAGAGTGGAAGGCTGCTGTTGTGTGTTTCTACGCGGATAGCAATGCGTGCAGCAAAAGGAGAATCATCCCGGTTTTTGACTTTGGAGTCAACCGATGGGTCAGCTTACTGCAGATGAAGCCAAAGAGTTCACTTGCAACAGCAATCACTCCGAGGTAGGGCCGCATGTATTATTGAATAAAAGTGTTTTGAAGTGTGCGCAAGGAAAATTTCAGCGGATATAAACGGAAGAGCTTCAGACATTTTTACTCTAACTCTTTTACTTAAGTAACTGTTTGTCTCATGATGACACACTGACTGCAAATCCATTGCGATAAAAGTGGCACTGTGTCAAACGACGTTATTCTCCTGCCGCTAATTGTAGGGTGCAGCGGCTCTCGGAAACGGGAATTCTCAATCACCTTGTCAGTATACACAAACTGATATCGTTCGGTTATGGAAACAATAACATATTATATAGCCGCAATCCAAAGCATCAGCTGGAAAAGAAGGGATCCGCCCAAAATGTAGCCTGGCACAGGCTGGAAAAAGTGTTTTACGCTGTGTTTGGACTGCAAGTGTGTCTAGTGTTAGTTTTAATTTCTGAGTTGGTTCACAATCGTCTACAGAGAGGGCAGTGCGACCAGAAAAAACGAACAACCAGGGATCGACAGCACGGCTTCCGAGATTATCGTATTGCTCAAAGACAACTTTTTGACTCAGCGAAATTATAATACAATGCAGTTTTGGCACGGACATATCTCAAATTAATAAACTGTTCCGGTCAGCCGAAAAACTTCACGACATTTAGTAGAGCGTCTCCAAATCGTTTGCGCAGGGTATTGCTGTATAGCAGTTGTCGGATCGCACGAGTAATTTGGGGGTTTACAAGCTTGCCTGCACTGTGCAGGAGTTCTTTGGTGATTACGCTGATTGTCTGTGTGTTTGTTGCTGTTAGTGCAGATGTCTGTTTCCGATGGACAAATTCGAACACCCGAAAATTTGTTAATAAAATCCAGCCTCCGTGCACAGCAATGTGTTATGCACGTACAGGTATATCTGGAGTTAAGAAAAAAATTCTCCCGCATATGTTTGCCAAAGCGAGGACTGGATATTGAGCTTATAACCGGTTGTCATGGTTGTGTTCTGCGTCGTACTGCAAGTGGAGCCAAAGGACCTCGGCGACACAGAAATTAAACAATTTCGTATAAAGTTCCTTTCATGACCCAATCAAATCAGCAGATTTTTTTATCCCTAAAGCAAAATTTTGCTGACCCAGTATACACGAGAAAGTGATTCAGTTGCGCCATTTATGAAAATGTAGGAATGGTATCTTTAAATTCGTATCCATCTACTATACTAAAGTCCATCCCAATGACAATGATCCCATCAATGTGTGCGTCACTATTGACAGATGATAATAAATGGCTACATGCACCCGACCGTGCCTTTGAGTCGCAACGGGTCCACCCATCCCGAATATGATAAAATAACAGTGTGGATGGCTTTTCTTTTTGCCGGCAACAAGACTGGCTAGTTTATAACTTGCCGGCATCAAGTCAACTTCCATCACGCTCGCTCATAGAAGCTTAAGCTAACGGTTTGTGCAGTTTCTTTGTATCTTATGCTTTATCAGTTTGTATTAATTTTAGCTATTAAGCGTCATTTTATGACTAAAATATCCTGAAAATTATTTTGCTGGTTAACCAAAAGATATCTGTACATGAATCTGTGCATGCACCCTTTTAATATGTACATGCAATGTTTTATATCTGTGCAACCATGTTCATTTTGATAACCCATCAGAATTTCCGCTTAATACAACATCTAAACGAAAATGCGCAAAACAGCGTCGGGTAGATTCTCGGTTGTTCCGGTGAGTTCGATGGCATGTGGATGCGGCTCATCGACAAGTCTGGCTGGTGAAGCGGCAAATACTCAAGTTCACACTGGGTGTGGTTTTTCCCAGCGTGGCATCTTCCACGTTTTTTGTGTAGATTCCTTTGCGCTGAATCAATTTTTACAGAGGGATGCATATTGTCATTCACTTTTCGCCGCTGTCTACCGCACCTACGGTACTAGTCATAGTACCAGAAGGTGCGCAAACAGGAAGAAATAGATGCCATGGCATACGTCAGTGAATTCCATGACCATTTTGCCAGGCACACATCTGACCATGAGCAGCAGTTAGGAGTTTTACTACAGCGGTTTGGTTTGATCAAATATCTGACGGTAAAGACGAGAGAATTATTGATTATAGATCGTGAAAATCATTTACTGCCGTGTAATTCCAGTTTGCGCACTTTCCGGCGCAGTGAAAAAATTGATAGATTAATCGTGCAGCTTACAATTTAATTAAGTAGTTCTGTAAGAAACACCACTCCTGATCGGCAGGTGGCAAACAGAGAAAGAGAAAATAAAATATCATAGATACTGAAAAATGAAAGAATGTAATAATTAAATGAATGAATAAAAATCAAATGAACATACGAAAATAGGTAAATGCAGATACAGAGTATGCAATGAGAATTTCCTGTAACATCAACCAACGGCTACGTATTCTTTTATAATTATATTAGTCACTGCGTATAATGCTATCTCTTGGGTTGGCCACCGTAGAACTCATAATTTTTGAACAAACAAAAACTGCCAGAAATAATCGGTCTATTTTGAAAACTGTCTGCCAGGAATCGCATTTTGGTTCATACTCTTATTTACAGTTACCCACCGATTTCAGCAAATTTCAGTGCGATCGAGCGGCTGTTACGTTCAGATCTCCACTAACGTTATGTGATGCCCCTAGCACTAAGTCTAACGTAGAAATCCCGACGTGGATTTTGAGACTTTATTACGAAACACTATTCAAGTGACTGCTAGATGACTTCCAGTGGACTAAACCAGAGTGGACCATCTAGCATTGGCAAGCTTGGCGCTTATATAGCCACATTCGGGTAAACATCGACAATCAGAAACTTCTGGAAACTTTCAAAGCAGCGGATCTAACTTTTTTTAGCTCACTCTAATAGTGTATCCGGGTTGCCTAAACGGCGTTAAAGCGACGGTGACCTTTAGGATGTTGCTTTGCCGATGAGCTTGTTCCAACGATTTTAACATGGGCGGAGGGGATAGTGAAGAAGATCTGTCGAAATTTACATTTGTCGAGCTGACTGATGTGTTATCTGGTATCTTTGATGAGGTGTTCGCTGTATCCAGTACAAATTCGAAAGTCGGGAAAGTCCTTGAAAGCCATAAAGACGCTCTGCAGAAAATCCCATCCCTGCTGAAGGATCATCATATACGCATTCATGAAGTCGCCCTGAAAGCGGAAACCGATCTGAAGATGGAAAAAGAGCGCCTGACGCAGCTAATGCAAGAACCTAACCTCGAACCCCAGGCTGCACGACGTTATATTCCAGTACCGGCGTACCCTGAAAATTCACATGCGAATCGAACATACGCTGATGCAGTCAATCATGGAGTTTCTTCGAAGACTGCAAGCGGCAACATCCTTTTGCTGAAGCCCAGAGCTGCACCACCATCCATCCATGCCCGAAAATCTGCCAACGAGATGAATTCCTTTTGCCAGAAGCTAACTGATGTCCTTCCTGAAGGAATGGACTCTGCCAACATCACTTGCATGCGACCTGCAAATGGTAAGTCTGTACTCGTTGAATTTTAACGAAGGGTTTTACTAGAGCTAACCGTGCTGGTACACTGTATAGTCGATCGACTAGTCAGATGACTGTATCCTCCCTCTCTATCACAGTAACATACTGTCACTTATATAGCTAGACATAGAATATCAACAGACTAGCATTCAGGTAGAAGAACTAGACAATCAGCTCAGCAGAATAGCTAAAGGCAAGAGTCACAGACATAATATGAATCACATTACACTTCCCTCCTTAAAGGAATTTCGTAGAAATTTAACGCTATGATAAAACAAGTTCTTCTTTAATCTTCTATTTCGCGGAGCTTCACCGGATTTCTTTCGTGGGGTTTTTCAGTGCATTTCAGCGTTCGTCGTTTTGTGCAGAACTGTCAAATTCAACTGAAGTCCTCCTCCCGTCCTTGAAAAGTTGCATCGTACAGACAAACATTAAGCAGTAACACATAATGTTAAAAATTTCACAGTATACTTCATGTACGTCGCACCCAAAATTTCTTCAGTCATTAGTATGGCTAGTAAAACCTTCGTTACATTGGTGGCTCCAGTGGTCGTCGAGGTTCGGCCTCGACACTGCTGGCAGGTCAGCATTCGTCGACTGAATTCCCGACAACCGGCAGTGAGTGTTACTAATGTTTCGCTTTGATTGAGCTTACTTCCGTACTATGGACATTTCCAACCCGGCACTGACAGCACGTCAGTTTGTACGTTCTATTCTCACGACTCTACATCGAAAACAACCATGCCCCCCATTGGAAGACGAAATATACGCTCTATTCGACGCCCTTCCGCCGGAATTGAAACGTCTATTCCTTTTTGACCTTCCACCGGATACCAACTCCTTCGAAAGGAAGCTCCAGTATGAATTACACCGACTCAGATTTCGTGCAGAGACACTACCACCGGCATTCTTAACAACACCCGCCCCTGGATCTCACCAGAAACGACAACGACAACGACCCATCTCTCCAAGAATTTGCTACCATTGCAGAAAACCCGGACACGAAGTTATTCGCTGCAGGCAGTACAGAAGTCAGTATAATTATTGATGAAAATTTTACTGGATTCGACATTGACTTAGGACCAGGATTATAAGGTTTAAAGGTATGAAGGAAAGGCATGAGGCTGTAAGAGTGAACCATGACCTTTGGGAAAGAGAGCAAGCTGTAAAAGTGGAACGTGTCTCCGACCCCATACTAATGACTGAAGAAATTTTGGGTGCGACGTACATGAAGTATACTGTGAAATTTTTAACATTATGTGTTACTGCTTAATGTTTGTCTGTAAGATGCAACTTTTCAAGGACGGGAGGAGGACTTCAGTTGAATTTGACAGTTCTGCACAAAACGACGAACGCTGAAATGCACTGAAAAGCCCACGAAAGAAATCCCGTGAAGCTCCGCGAAATAGAAGATTAAAGAAGAACTTGTTTTGTCATAGCGTTAAATTTCTACGAAATTCCTTTAAGGAGGGAAGTGTAATGTGATTCATATTATGTCTGTGACTCTTGCCTTTAGCTATTCTGCTGAGCTGATTGTCTAGTTGTTCTACCTGAATGCTAGTCTGTTGATATTCTATGTCTAGCTATATAAGTCACAGTATGTTACTGTGATAGGGGGTCAGGATACAGTCATCTGACTAGTCGATCGACTATACAATGTACCAGCACGGTTAGCTCTAGTAAAACCTTCGTTACAGAATTCAAAAGTAAGGAAGACGTTGAAAAAGGCGAAACTATGTTTAATCAGCACGCCGAAAAGCTTGATATTTCTGTGAAAAAGCCGATGCCACGTAGGTTCAGAATGATCGTTCGTAAGGCGCCGATCAGCATGACACAGGAGTCTTTTGAATACGAGCTGGCTTCGAAAAATTTGCCGGACAATAGTAAGGTGAAAGTTGTAACCGTTCTTAAAAGCAGTCGAAAGGACCGCGAGACGTATGCAGTGGTTATTGATGTCGATGAGTCTGCAAGGTCTATTTTGAGTACAAAAAGGTCAGTGAAATTAGGGTGGTTTATGTGCCCTGTTGTGGATCATTTTTATGCCCCTCAGTGTCTAAAGTGTTGCGAGTATTTCCACACTGAACGGACATGTAAAAATAAACCGGTGTGCGCTTACTGCGCGAAGGACCATGTTTCTTCAGAATGTCCGGAAAACGACGACTTTGAGTGCATTTGCGTTAACTGTCAGAAAAATAACAGCTTCTCGCATGAAAATTCACATTCGGCTTTTGCGCAAAATTGGTGCGACATGTATGCCAACTTGAAGAACTCTAAAACTTTTTACAACTCCTATCGAAAAAACGGAGCATGAAGCCGGCCGGCTTCATGCTCCGTTTTTTTTTCCAGTTCCGCGGAACTGGAAAGTAATGACTTAACTTCTTTGAATTTACTTGTTCCGCCTATTAACAATGCTTCTTTCAAAAAAAATAGTCGTGATATGACCATCCGTTTTCGCTGCTGTAACATCAACAGTGGAAAGAATAAACTAGCCCAAGTGAAATTGTTTTGCCATGGCAGTGATGTAACTGTGTTAACAGAAACGTGGGATAAACCGCACTATGCGGATGCATGCTTTGCTGACCTTCGGTCTTTTAATGTGTTCCGTAAAGCGAGAAAAGATGGTCATGGTGGCGTTGCTATTGTTGTTCAAAAGTCATTCAACGCTTTTCGCAGAATCGACCTAGAAGAAAGTTCACTTGAAATTTTATGTATCCAGTCCTTAGCTTTCAATCTCATCTTTGTTGGGTTTTATGCTTCCCCTTCCACGTGTAAGTCTTCAGTGCGTTCTCTATTGATCATATTCGCACGCGTTTTTCACCAGCAATGCTCGCAAGGACTATCATTATGGGAGACTTTAATCTACCTGACATTAACTGGCATAGCAAAACAGCTGCTCTGCCAGCAAGCCGAGAATTGCTACGGCACTAAGAGAATTTAATTTCACTCAATTAATTAATTTTCCAACAAGGGAATTAAATTGTCTTGACCTTTGCTTATTGAGTGCTAGTTTTCTGTACGAGCCAGCAGTACCTATTAGCCCCCCTTCTGTCACGAATGATCATATTGGGTTCCAATTTTCTTTAAAAGCCAAGCGGCTTTCACGAAAATTTTGCACAGTGGCTAAGTGGAAAATAAACAACGCCAGCGTAGCTGATTTCAATAGCGCTTTAGCTTCGATGGACTGGTTGACTATGTTCCGGCATTCAGATGCAGACCAACGCGCGGTTATATTTGAAACCACTTTTCTTGATGTTGCTAAAAAATTTTCAAGTACGAAAAAGTAAAAGTTCGAGTGGGTTCAATTGAATATCCTAAGCAATTAAAGAAACTAATAACGGCGCGCGATCGCGCTTTTCGGCGGTACCGCAATTCGAGTCGTAACCGAAGCGATTTAAAAATCAAGTGGAAGTCGTTGTCAAAAAAATGTGATAACATGGCGAAACGTTTTGAAAATCACAAACTACTTGATATGGCCACCTCTCATCGTAATAATCCATCTAAATTCTGGCAGTTTCTAAAATCAGTAAATGATCGCACAGACATGCCTCCGTTGCACCTACCAAATGGTGCAGTGATTACCAGTGATTTTGAAAAAGCCGAAACGCTTAATTGTCAATATTATGATTCCCAATCTGAGTGTTTTAATCTTCGCAAAGAGCTTAACACTGAATTACTTTTCACGAACAATGATAGATGGGAAATCTCTGAACTGCTAATTTTTGAACAACTGGCAGCGTTGTCTTCTAGAACATCTAGCGGAAAATTCGAGATCACCAACAACCTTCCTTAACTTGCAGCTAATTGTAAGTCTATAAAAAAACCGCTGAAATTTGTTTTTGATGCTGTTTTAAATGAAGGCAAATTTCCATCTGTGTGGAAACTTTCCTTCATTACCCCCATCCCAAAAATGTCAGCCGATCGTAAACTCCCTGCCAGTTACAGGCCTGTCTCTATGTTAAACCCTGTTTCTAAAGTTTTTGAAAGATGTTTAGACCAGCTTATGCGCGGCTTTTTAGGTAAAAATAATATTCTAGGAGACCATCAGTTCGCCTACCGAGAAAAACGGTCAACGAAGCTGCAACTGTTTATTTTCACGAAAATCCTAAATGATTTCATAACTAACGGCACTGAAGTCGACGCAGTGTTTCTAGACTGCTCAAAAGCCTTTGATAAAGTTTCGCATGCCAGCATCCTCTCAGCTCTGAACTCTATGAACTTTCCCAGCCAGGTCGTGCATTTGATATCGGACTACTTAAAAGGTCGTACGCAATGTGTAACGGTCGAAAATGCGGTTTCTGGGAGGAAAGCAGTTCGAAGTGGTGTGCCGCAAGGATCTGTTCTCGGGCCATTGCTGTTCATTTGTGTTCTTAATTTTATTCTCAGCGCCCTTAAGCACGGTAGCGGCCTTTTTGTTTTTGCTGATGATATGGTGATTCTCCGTCCGCTCGTAAAAATTAATGATTGTGAGCTCTTGCAGGAAGATCTTGCGTGTTTAGAAAACTGGCTTAGCGAGAAACAACTATCCCTCAACGCGGCAAAATCAGTTCACATCCGCTTTTCGAAAAAATCTTCTGTAAAATCGGCTGCTCAGTACGAACTTCACTCTGTACCGATCCCCGCCAGCGATTACGTGAAATATCTAGGCGTCTATGTCGACAGAAAATTAACGTGGAAAATAAACTGTGAAAATCTTGCAAAAAAGTGCAACAAGAGAATAAGTTTTGTCAACCATATCTTTAATCGTAGTAATGGTGGAGCCCGCCTAAAGCTTTTCAAATCCCTGGTCCTTCCTATCGCTGATTACTGTAGTTCTGTGGTTTAATGTTACTTAAAAACGTCAAATGACTTACTTGAGCGTTGTCAAAAGCGCTTCACAAGATCAATACGTTTGGGAAATGACCTTTCGAAATATCCTGAGCGGCTGGCTGAACTTAAATGGGACACTCTGAGTCATCGCCGCTTAAAACAGGCTTTAGAATTCGTTTACAAGTTAAAGTTTGGTAAAATTGCCCTAAGCGAAGTAATAATAGCTCCATTGGAAATTTCGCATGCTGCGCTTGAATCTGTTTCAGATCACACCCGTGCAAACACCCGCCTCCTCCGCCATCCATGCCCTAGTAAACTGACTACAACAACGCTCTGTGGAGCAGTTATAGCGTCACGTCATGGATCACATTTGGAAAATCTGGTCGACCTTTGGAATGAACTGCTTCTTCCCACGGAATCCTACCTGTCACTGACATCCTTTCGGAACGCGCTGGAGAATGTCGAATTGAACACACTAACAGCCGCTAAACGACTCCTGGATGTTCGTTAGTCTCTTTTTTAAGTTCGATGTGTTTTCATGCCACACACTGCATAAAAATTTATCCCTGTTTTCTTTTTGTCTTCTTTCATGTTTGCTAATCACAATAATGTTTTTTGCTCTTATCTGTCTACTGCTGACTTTTGTCTGTTGCCTGGAGGGGGTTTCCGCCCCGTTGCAAAGGACATTAAATCAATCAATCATTATGCCCAAATATAGAACTAAATGCTATTCTCTCAGTTCTCTTTGTGGCTAATGATTTTGTTTACGCCAGGCTGTATTTTCATATAGCTCACATGGGGCTGTGTGGCTGGTAACACGGCGAGTCGACGACTGAGCAAAGCCATCAAACACACTTGGAATCGTTTGTCCAGCAACGTTCTTTGTTTTTCAATCAAAAGAAGATGTATCGCTTGTCAAAGAAAAAACTTCTCGAATCATACAATACAAAGCCTCTTATCGTGTAATAGTCATTTCTCTGATACTCTGTACAAAATTAGGGTTTATTCGGTTTCGTCATCAGAAAGGGTAAGGAATCTGCGTGAAACGTACATACCTATGCGTAATACAGCATTGCTCATTGTGGATGCGTAATTTATGAACTCATGGATACTATGCATGTTCTGTAATCAGTGAATGCACCACTCATCCAGTTTACCAATCATGATCTATTACAGTTTTAAGTGAAGTGCTACTTCGTAGATAACTATTCGACTTTATGTGCAGAGTACATTTATGTACATGAAGCTTTACACAAAACTTTTGTGAATGACCATGTTGAGCTGAGGCATACTGTGCTTAACAGAGTGCTGCATTCGCTTGATCTAAATGAAATTGATTGTTGTTAATGCACAGCTAACAAGTTTTTCTCATTACGTTAGGATTTAAAGCAAACTGACTGTCACTGCTTGTAAAACCAGGCTGACGGTAATCTGATTGCGGCAAAATGCATTTGTACGAAAACGGTATTCGAAGTGTTTACGGGTGGAATGCGGTGGACGTGGAAATTGATGGGCTGATGCAACACGGCCACGTTATCGGTCTGGAGAACGTCGAAGACAAGTCGCAGCGTCTGATCGTAGATTTCGGATGTCCGACACTGCGGTCGGTACCGGTTGATTACATGACGGTGATCGACTGCTCCAACAAATATGCGGTCCGATACAGCTGGCTGAGCCATGAGTTTACCGACTGGACGAACGATTTATCTGGCGCGCCCAGCACCCGTTATTCCGGCTTGGAGGCGCTAATCCGCGACCATCCCATCCACCCATGGAAATGGTATCCGGCAAAATTACTCATGTTCGGCTTCAGATATCTGCAACCACATGCGCTGGTTGAAGTGCAGCTGCCAGGTTATACAGTTCGCGAACTCCTTCCTGAACGACAGCTGCGTGTGCCACTCTCGGAGGAAGAGCGTCAGTGTCGAGCACTGTCACATAACCATTTCATACTGCGGTCTTGCACAATCCCTGCAGAGTGTCAGTTAATGTGGAAATCAGTAGTGGCAGCACAGTTGTGGAACAAAATGCAACATGACTGCGCTGTGCGTGTTATATCTGTTGTTAACGGCACGATGAGCTATCTTGGACGACGCAGCGACGCACCAATGAAAGACGAGGATGTTGTAAGTCAAAGCAGAAAGCACACCCTATTAGATTACGTTTGAGACTCTGATTTTCGGATTAAAATATGCGACCTTACCGAAAAGCCCTAATTATTTTATTAAGTCACATGAGATGTTTTTGCTGAACAGATAAAAGTGTTTGCCAACAGCCGCGATCCAACAAGCAAGGATTTTAAAGGCAAAGATGTACCCGAACTTGCAGAAGCAGACAGGAAGGCCAGTTTCAGTTTATCTCTGCCACCGGAAATTCTTATGGAGGTCTTTCAGTCGCTGGATACCATCGACCGGTTGCGCTGCCGACGAACCTGTCAGTTATGGGAGACGCTTTTAGCCTCGCCGCAGATAGCCCGCAGTTTTTATGTGCAGTTGCTTCAGCAGCATACCGACATTCATCGCAATACCAATTACGGTGCCTACGCGAGCATCTTCAAGCACATCACACGGGATACGCGCAACATCTGCATAAGAGACACCTCCGTTCGCCAACAATGTAGCGGTGGGGTGGAATGCCGCACAAACGCCGGTGCGGTGATGGGTTGCATTCAGCAAATGCTGGAGCATACCGGCATTTGTCTTGATCGGCTGGTGCTGTGCCAGCGTACAGTGACCATCTTAGCGACCAGCCGGCCATTGCATGATTATTTTAAAGGCGTGATGAACTCGTATTCAGACCTGGCTAGGTGTTATGATCGCGTCATCTGGGCGGATTGCTCGCTGAGCTACAATATCAGCGGTTCCAAAATCCAAGTTCGCATACCGCGTGCGGTCTTCGGTCTGCGTAGCGGCAATATGGACTTCATAGTTTGTGGTACGTTCGATACTCGTTTTGAATTCGCGGAGACATCAGATGTAAAAAAGCTTAAATGTTAAGCTAACACGGATAAATTAGCATGTTGCCGGAAAACTAAGACGCAACCGAACGCAGTTCGGAATCAATCATCTTGCGCCGAAAGTGTCTGTGTTACTACTGCTTAGGATGCAGTTTTTACTGCCTATGCAATAGTACAATGTAAGTCAATTCTGAATTTCTGAATGTAAGTCAATTCTGAATTTCTGACTACCCCAAAACATCAAAACGCCACAAAAAAATCGTGCCTGTGACAATTAGACGACTGCTACAAAAAAAAACGCAATTCGCTTAGTTTTCGAACTTTGGTATGATGCACTTCATTGGGCGAGCTAGTACTATTACGTTGTCAGCTATGAAATTAGCCCCAAGCTTTCCAAAGCTCCGCATGTCAGCGCAGTGGAAATTGTCCCGTAACCAACGGGCTCCGCGCGCTGGCCGAGACATTGCCGAAATCCCCTATGAGGCGTGGTGCCTCTCCTTCCACCTCTTCAATACAACGTACCCATGCTGCTGCAATCCGTCGCCTTCCACATCCACGGCATTCCATGTGTACACCGATCGTCGGCTGCTTTGGTACAAATGCATGCTGAATCAGTACAAAATGTGAATTGGCATGGTACTGGAAGTTATGCGCCGATAATGATGACAAAATGGCAGTTCTTGCACCTGTCTCAACAGCTTTGTGTACATGAAAGTTAGAAAGGTAGAAGTAGCATTGATCCGAGAACTGCAATGTTACGGCAGCATCGCAAATGTGGCTCGTCTGCTTTGGTGTACGTAGTAAGCATGCACTGCGCATGAGTCACGATTGCCTTAAGCAATGCCGTTGACTAAATTCTCTAATGCTTGTATTGCGATTTCTACCGTAGTGGATTTTTGTGATTGTCTGTAGTAATTATTATTATTATTATTTGTTGTTGTAGGCGTAGTTGTGTCTGGCGGTATATAGTGCACTGCACTTTCTTAGCGCTGCATCATGATCAGTTCGCCGTGTCAGTTGCTACTCTTGCCTGTCGGACAGGGTATAGTCCATTTTGTTTCATAAGGAAGTGTTTATTCAGCGTTGTCCCGTGATTAATAGAGCAGTATTTTTGGGAATTATTACTTTCATAAAAAAAAATTCCACCTCACATATGGCGGGTACTGGCAGTGGCGGTGAATCGTGTACTTGAGGAACCAAATTCCGCTTCTTATTTCCAACGGCACGAATTATGCGGCCAACAAGGGAATCCAGTACTGTAGCCGCTAGATGAAGTGGCTCCACAGAGTCTGGTATACGGGAAAAATGCAGGCGCAATATACACACATTGCTCCGTTAAGAATTGTGTTTGATTTCAAACAATTTTCACTCTGATGCTGACGCTCTACAGGTTTTACTGAGCTTCTTAATTTTAGCAACGTACGATAATTATCGTAAAAGCATAATGTCACAGCTCTGATAGTTTTCGATTTATAAATCTGGTTTGTTGTAGTTTTTGGGGTGCCCCTGGCAGGGGCAGAGATCAGTTAGTAACAGTACATCTACTAATATCGAAAAGCAAAGTGCGCGCCTCCCGGAGGGAGGAATGCTCGTGCTCAATGCCCGGCCAGGTGCAGGGAGCGGGCAAATCTAAAAGTGGAGCCACTTCATCTAGCGGCTACAGTATCTGCAGCACACCTAATTAACGTTTTCTACCGGCGCTCTTGCCTCACGCTACAATCATATCTTCACGTCACGTACTTGTGAAAACTTAAACACCGGCTTAAAAACCGTCATTTTTAATTGGATGTGATACAAGCAAAGACAGCGAACCACCACGTCGGTGCCGAGGCACCATTAAACCAGGCCGGCTTGCCGGGCAACTACCCCTAACAGCAAAACCGAAGCGACTCAACTGATTCTCGTTTGACATGGATTCTTCTTCAGCCTTCAGATTTAGAGAAAAAAGAAATTTGCTAATTTAACTATATTTTGCACTTACATGTTACTCCTCGTAAATTTCGGCTTATTTTAAATGTAGAACATTAGAGTAAACAAAGAAGCACATAGAACAATATGAACATTTATGCCGGCCCGCGGCAACCATAGCCTAAAATCATACACTAACACAATCAAGTGCTGAAACTGCAATCGATAATACTCGTATTTGTACGCAACTTACGCAAGTACAGTCGCCAGTCTCAGGCCAAAGAATGATTGAATAGGGCCCAGTACGGGCCCGTGCTCAAAATACAGTACATCATCATCACACCGCTTGCACTCGAGCGATGTATCGTGCTCCAGGCAGTGTCAATCCGGATAAGTTTTGACAGTGGTGCTTAGAATGTTATCGGAAGAGTTACACACGAGCACGGCATGGTTTAATTGATTTTGCTAGAAGGTCGAGTTGATGCCCAACTATGGATTGCGGATGTTTGTTATACAGAATCGAATCGGCTTCAAGGTATGTAATGCCCCTTAACCCATGATGATGGCAATGATGTAGAAGGATCAATGGGTTTAAGGCTGGAGTGCCTGTGTCTCTAATCTGCTATTATCCGTTTGTATGCCTCGAGTTGCACTTACTCCCTTTTATGATTAATGTCAACTAGGAATATCCCACTGCGGACGAAAGGGGATTATGTTTGCGGGATGTAAGCACTAAGCATCTTGCTGTCGGGGGCGTAATTCCTAAAGAATACGGCGGTTGCAAGCTCATAATACTAACAGCCGAGGATTCTACGTATCAAGGAAAGACCACAAGTCCCGGACGGACGCTACATTCTCTTCTGCCAGTATCTGTTATGCTGCCATCCCTTAAAAGGCGGCTCTGGAAGTGCCGCATTCTGTGGCATGTACATTGAGGCGCTCGCCGTCCAGCGATTGTTTTAATGTATGTCCCACAGAAAACAACTGTATTAATTACCCTGAGTATTGTTTTTTGATATTCCAGGAATCAGCCTGAATTAAGCACGTAGTCGAGTAAAAACTATCAGGTTTTCTGTGGACGGTTTTGCCAGTTACAACTCCGCGCGTCAACATGTTTGTTTTTAACATACGGGCGCCTGCCAACGGAAAAACACAGCCCAAAGTGCTACGGTAATAAGGTAAGACAATCCTGTGTTTAACTCGAATCAATAATAAACATGCACAAGTACCTGATTACACGGGGATTAGGTAGCTTCCGCTCGTATCCTGTGCTGACAACAGTCAGCGGAAAGCCTAAAAATTTGATGGTTTTTAAATTTTCTACACAAGTAATTTCAAAAAATGAAGTATTTACTCCTAATAGTGGTGCGGCTGAGCCATTTCTTTGCGATTTCGGCGAGATAGACATCTCACGAAAAGCTAAGAAAGGGACTGCGAGCAGTACAGGCGCGGCAGAAATTACAACAGCAGTTAGCGTTGGTACATATATAATAAAATACACCAAGCGGAAAATTAATTTCTTTTTAACGGTCCCTCATGGCGTCGAATCCAATGATTTGCGGTAAGTTATGTACACTGATAGTCGTCAAATCATCATGGCTCGCTATGTTCATGGTCCCAGGTTGTAGAATCTGAAGGTAAGAAAAGATCCCATGTCGCTTTTGCCCCACTGCCCGTGCGCGTGGAACCCTGATCCAGTTCTAGCGAATCTGTTAAGGCCAATTACAAGCTGCGTTCCATTCCGCCCTGCTGTGCTGCCGGACAGCTGTCCCTGGCTAATCGCCGGTGCGGCCAATTCCTTCCGCCGAGGGTTCTACTGCGTTCTCTGCCGGTGCACCTTCATTGCTGAGACGCGCATGAGCTGCGGCGACTTGCGTGGTTGCTATGATGAATAGCAACACCGAAGCGACGTGCCAAAGTTTCAACATAGCGAACGGTAGACAAATGTGCTGTTAGGGCTGCAATACGGTGTACACCGGCATGTCGTCTGCCGGGCTGTCTGCTTATATACTGCTTGCTCCGCAGTTAATTCTGATAACTGTCTAATTATGCTCGAAAGGTGTCGTCCTCGTAAAATTCCTGTACATAGCGTTTTAATCGTTAAGCACCGCATAGTGCCTTGAATCATATTCTATTACGTATGATTAGTTTTACTGGAAACCATTAAAACTTATAACAGTGTGGCAGTATCGTGTGCAATTATAAATGTCTCTGTTTTAAACCGGTTTTATACAAAGAATGAAACATTGTGCTACTAACGACTCACACGGCGAAACATCGGTTGTTGTGTTCTTTTTCGCATTATGTCATAACATGAGACGAAGCAATTAGTGCTCCACAATATTGCCGTAAATTTATTTTTTACGAAACGTATCTCCTGGGCATAAAACAGTATTTTGAAGATTAGAACTTCCGCATTCATCTTTCAGAGTAATGACTGTATTTATAACTGCCGTCTGTATGACACTAAAGCGAGAAGGCAGTTTTGCTAAATTATTTTCCGGTAACTGGAACTCTGGTATTATTGTGATTTCCAGTAAATATAAGCGGATTAGGCAGACATTTTTTAACAATTAAAAAAGTGGATAAGGTAGCAATTAAAGGATAGCATCTTAATATACGAGGCGGATAGCATGCTAGGTAACATCCACGGACAGCGGATTTCCGCGCGCCCACGATACAAGTCTGATCACATCCGTCCTTTTGTAATTTTTCAGAAACAGACCTTTCGGTTTCATTCTTAAAGGGAAGCCGGCTAACTTTAGGCCTCTAGTAAATTCCGCGCTGATTCTGTCGTGTCGTGGTAGTCTTCCGGCGGACCATTTACAGGCAGTCCATGCCGGACTAACTCATCGATCGGCCTACCTCAAACGCACACGTGTGGAGTAACGGTCGGTGTTCCCAGACACAGCGCAACACTTATCCGGAAAGCGTTGTCCTCCAGCAGATTACCAAGGCATGGATCCACATACTGATTCCGACACTGTTACGGACTTTAGGTGAGCAACTTCCTCCTGCGAAGCCCGTAGTGTCATCAGCTTTGAAAATGTCTGCAAAGCCGCAGGAGTGTCCCAAGATTTCTGTACATAACGAAGGGCTTACGCAGGGAGTACGTCAGTGTCGGCCAGTAACTTCCAGGCACGCGTGGCAGTGGTAACATCCGTTGCCGTCAGTGCCGGGCACAATTTGGAAATTAGTGGGCGCAACGAATTATCGGTTTTCCAAATTTTCTTCTTATGTTTTCACGTTCTTTCTTAAGTTTCTTATGTTTTCGAATGTTTCTCACGCTTTTTGAATGTTCTCGTATGTTTTTCATGCGTTTTTTTAGGTTTGTTATTTTTTCATTTGTTCCTTATGTTTGCTCAACTTTAATGATATTTGTCGGTTGAGTGGAAAATCTGTTCAAGGTAATGGCCTCGCGGCGAATTGTCACGCCGCCGGAACGACCTCCCGACGAAATGTCGGGAGGCGACATGATCGTGAGATGAGATGTCTGCTACCAAATGTCCTGCGACGAATTCATCCAGCGTATCTTAATTTATTCTTACGGCATCCATCGTGTATCTCTTTCACTTGTCCAGATGATTTTGTTTTGTTTTCTAAAGAAATACATTCGGAATACATAAAGTATACTGGTTGGGATACAGAGGTACGTTTGGATATAACAGCGAATAAAATTTTTGTATCAATTTTGGAGAGTTCATAAAAGGTACGTAGAGAATAATATTTTGTTGTAATTTTGCGTAATTCTTCCCAATATCGTGTTTTTCGAGTGGAATACCTAAGCATAAGCATCAGCTAATGCATAAAAGTAGACCTATAATGCATAAGCGAGTTTTACCGCCATAATAGAACAGGTTACAGTAGAAATATTTCCAGAAATAATTTATTAAAGTGTAAAAAGGAATGGAAAAACGATTAACTAGAACCAGGTGACGCTAAAAACCTGCTCTTTGTTCACTCCAAAAGCCGCGAATTGGCATGAATGATCGTCATGTCGTTACTATCCTGATGAAATTCGACAAACTTAATCAAGCACTGCCAACATCCGCAAAGGGCATCGTTTAATCACTTAGTCAGAGAGCATCGTTTGGTTAAAAAGCATCGTCTGATTATCACAAACAGGCGATAAATGCAGAACGAAATATACGCGCCGAATGCAATATCCAGTTTGCTAATGTTTCAAATTATGGCTGACTAAATGGAGTGATACACCCAAAAAAATCATTGAATATTCAACAACACTGGATATCGTATTCCGTTGCCGAATTACCTTCAAAAACCGTCCGCCACCGAAATTACATTCCTGACAAATCACAGTACCAGTTTACCCCAAAACAGTTGCTGAGTCAAAATTTACGGTGGTCGTTTTTTCGCACCGGCAGATGGGTTTGCCGGCTTACAAGTGAAAGCGAACAGCTGACAGTTTATCCGTCTGGACAGTTTTGCCGGCCACACACAGTTTCCAAACATGCTGAATCCGATGATGTTAGCCGTTTATGTGTTATGTTTTGGTTTGTAATATCCAAAGTTAACGGGGATCCCGGTCGCAGCATAGATCCTATCCTTGATTACGTCGAAGCTCTAACTTGTGAAACCCTCGTCAAATACCATCCCTACCCAGTCCCGTCGGAAATGCTCTGGAACCTTGTACGCAGCATCGACTGAAATCGCCTTGGTCTAGTACAATAAATTAGTAGCCAGCCGCTATATTCACTATAAAGTACAAATCGTTGGTTACTGTTCTCTGAACAGAGCTCGAACATGCACAACGGCTGAATGCAATCAAAGATATGAGAGTGATTTTCTGTGATGTCTGATTTCTTCCACCTATTTATTGTTTGTACAGGCATAGTAAAATTTTATTGCATTTTTGTTTTAAAGTTTCGGCTGGTCGGCTTATTCTCATTTTACAGTGTCGACAGTGGGATGCCAAAATTTTGTTTTCCAAGCAAAAACATTTTGCGGTATCTACGCTTCTGAGTTTTAATTAAGCATCATCGCCTCCAAGCCGCTTTAAATAAGTAATTGTCTAAAAATAAGTTAGCAGAGCCACGTCGGTAATTATTGCAGAAATTTTATCAAAAGTGCACAAATATGATAACAAAATTTGCAGCATGGGTTTTCCGGATCACGTTAATTAAATTGTTCTCAGAATTTAAATGCAGTGTTTGTGCATTGACATAACTGCGGTAACAGTAAACGGCTGCAGATTTTAGTGAATGCGTTTGCCAGTAACAGCCCGGTATTATATTAGTAAATTGATGGCCACGAGATGTACTGTAATTACAAGTTCATATTATTCTTCACTTATCCGATAATCTTCCACTTAGCTGGCGAAAGAAACGAAAACAGATATCATGTAACAGCACGCAGTTACACCGACTCCGGATTCACTGAAAGCGTTTATGTTCCGCCATGATGGCTAATTATTTGTCAATTGTCGGCCGTTCATACAATCCGAATGTAACAGAAAAAGCTCAATATCGGCTTGATCCATGTCATTCCATGACATATTTTTTCCGGAGTTCGCCGCAATTACAGGAAGTTTGAATGGTAATGAGGAAATGCCTGCAGGAAGCATTTCGTTTGGGTGTCATGTAACGCAGAGGCGCGTAACCCCCGACTGAATATAGCACCGTGGTGGGCGTTAAGCAGCTCTAGTGCGTTGCTGACACTTCAGTCGCCGCAAGAATTATGCAATCTCTGTAAGATCAGATGCCGAGTCGTTGTTTACTGCGTCTGCGTCAAAATGAACGTCTTGCCGCCCGTATTGAATTCCACAGCGGTGTGCAGTAGGGTTGACTTGGAAATCATCACACTGGCCATTCTGTATCCGGTCATGCTGGGATCCATGGCGTATGTGGGGCCGGCGTACCGCCTGGCACTGGACAACATTCGGCAGAGATATCCTCGTTTAAACGTAACGCATACGATAATTGCCGATAAGAAGTACCCGGACTGCGGTGCCTTGGCATTCGATTCCGTGTTCCTTACCGCGAAACAATTCTACACTACGGGGGCGCTGACTCCTGGGGAATACGATAGGAACTGCTCTGCCAGTGTAATGGTTTTCAGCGGTGAGTGACCACTTCAGAAAAATCTTGTATTCGGATTCCATTTATTTTCTACGCAGCTATTACTTTTTATCGTTATCATTTTTATAGAGTATATGATTTCATATTAAATATTATTGTTTATAGGTAGTATTATAACGTGTAATTTACTTATTTAGTATTTGTTATTTTCTGATCATTAATTTCTGCATTAGATTTATTATTGCTATTTTCTACTCAGTTATTATTACTCATCAGTTATAATTAGCTCATTGACTTTTACCTGCACATAACTTTTCCGCAAATTATACGTAGAATTAATGTATTGAAATGCAAGTTCAACTTGTAGTTATTCGTTCTTTTAGGATGTTCCGAAATTGACGATGTTGTGCCCTTCGTGACTCAACTGGACAAGCTGATAATAACAACGTATGTACATTAAATTAAAGCTGGTCGCTATTAGTCTGGATAAATTGTGGTCGACCGGTTACCGTATGAAAACATGCAGAGCGACCAAATGTTTGAAGGTTTGTTTATCGAGGCTTAAGCGCAAACGTTTTGTGCTAATCATTAAACGATCGAACTTTACGTACGTAATGACTCAAATAAACTGATTTTCTGATATCCCGTAAAAAAATGCAAAGTATTAAACTTAAATATAAGTTATAACTATAGCGTACATCGAAGAAAGCCGATGCGTGTACAAGTTGCGTAAGTGAGATCCTCTAGGTGATGCTAACCAATGAGCGGTGGTCGGGATCCCGAGAAACTCGTTCTGTTCGCTTTATTAACGAAGTACGAGTAATTCGTATTTCGAAACTGTATAACAAACCTTTGGCAGCAGACAGTGCTAAATCCCGAACACGATCGGGACTTTGGCCACGCAGCTGCTTGTCACATTAGTGTCTCTGTGTCTGATCTGCTCTTGTTTTCATAGTGTCGGAACTAACCCAAGTCTCCGTAAGAAAACAATTACACCAACGTGGATCGGGACAACGTGCAATTCATTCCAAATTATCGTGAGCATGGTACTGAGTATAGCGAAAAAGTTCCGCTGGACGTCCGTAGGTCTCATAGCCGACACCGGTACCAATCGCGGTTATGAGCACTTTGCCAGAGAATCGGGCAAAACTGTAATTGCAAATGGCGGTCAAGCTTATCAGGAGTGGTACAACTCAAAGACTATGACAAATGATGAACGGATTGCTTTGCTTCGCCGTCTGAATGATCGAGCTCGAGGTAGCGCCTGTTAATACGTATAATCTGAACTTTGACATTGTAGTGTTATTACGAAGGGAATGAATGGGTGGGTGAGTCAAACTTGTGTCTTCTGGTTGCAGTCTATTTCTATTTTGGCGATTACGGGGAATTTCGGCGGTTGCTGTTGGTGGCTGCAAATCTCGGCATGACCAATGGCGAGCATGTAAGTAAGCAGAAAGCTCTACACACATAGTAGCACCTGTTATTTGTGAAACATATAAAACCAGTATTTGTTGACTATCAGCATTTGCTATCACATCAGTAGTATTATTTTGCACCGTGCGCGAGTCCGATGCCACCGGGAAACTGTAATATTGCATTTATATCGGAATAGTTCCACGCACTTCGAAGTTTCATCGTCAAACAAATTTGTGCATTCTCTTATTTTAGCATCTCACAGCGCTCGATGCAAACAAGTCTTGTTTATCTGCTTTATTAGGTGTACATACCAATGGCGGGATTTAGGAAAAGCTCGGAACCCGGTTACTATTCGTGGAATAAGGGTGATGGGGACGACGAGGTACAGTGCTTGTAGGCTGTACTTTTGAAAAGGTTTTAACCAGAATGTTACTGGTTCCTCCCGCTGCTAACTCTTATAGTGGAAATAAGTTAAATACGATTTCGACTGCAAGAAACCAGCCAGCATATATATATATATATATATATATATATATATATATATATATATAATATATATATATATATATATATATATATATAATATATATATATATATATATATATATATATATACATATATATATTGTAATATATATATGTAATAATAATAATATATATATATGTATGGCATATATATATATATATGTAATATATATAGCATATATATATATATATACAATATATTGTATATAATATATATAATACATATATATATAACATATATATATGTGTATATATGTATGTATATGTATATATATAATATATATATACATATATATATATATATATATATATATATATATATATATATATATGTATATATATATAATAATAAATCACCTGAGGTACAACTTAAATTTGTAATAATGAAACATCAACATTTTTTACAACATCAGAATTTCATTGAACTTTTCTGCGCCTTCCATCGTTCCCATAACCGGCGCCGCGTTGCCGCGCTGAATCTCCAGTGACAATCTTTGGCGTAGAAATTCATGAGAACGGGCTTCCCCCGTGTGTTGCTCGAGTCGTTTGCCCAGTGCCTTGATGATGGCGATAGCGGATGGCCCCCAAGGGCCCATTGTTTCGAAAGCTATCGGTGCAAAGATGTATCTGCCACTGATATGTGATTTTTATTAGCGCAAGCCAGTCACACTGCAGATTTTGTTAACAACAAAAAAAATGATTTATTATAACAGAAAAATTTCTCTCAAATTATCCGTTAAATCAATGGTTCCAAGGACAGACGCCGCGTTGCCCCGCTGGATTTCGATCGATAGACGCTGGCGTAAGAATTTGTGTGATCGAGGTTCACCCGTGTGCTGCTGCAATCGCTTTCCGATTTCCTTCACTAAAGCGGATGCCGATTTTCCCCAGGGCCCGAATGTTTCAAAAGCTAACGCCGCAAAAATGTATCTGCCGACGAGGTACGCATATTGTCTGGTCTTCCTGTCTTCGGCCTGGGCAGCGGCGGATCCCGCCGCTGTTGAATTCTGACGATATGCGACAAAGCGACGGTGTCGACGCAGGTGACGTCCCAAGCTAAGCACATGCCACGCTTCCAGGCAAACGTCGTGCCTCCGTCCGGACGTCGCTCGGACGTGTGGGATGCCGCGGGCTCAAGCTTCGCCGGAATACCCGCCGATACTAATGATCGGCACACAATACTGTTCAGCCCGCCATGGCGAGGTGTCTACCGACGGAGAAGGAGCATGACAATCCGTGGTGGCCATACACGTCAACTGGTTTGCGGCATTTTGCACAAGAATGTGCTTCACAGATTACTGCGCCCAGCCTAAGCCCGACTGAAATCTTCAAAGTGTCGTCATCGAGTAGGTTTCCGATATGTGCCGAAGGCAGCATTAACCAGATGCCGGCTTCCGGTTTGGACTGGGCAAGGAGACGGGCTCTGTTAGTTTCGTCGTCACGGAAAACATCCAGCAGTGTTGACAGTGACGCATTACACAGCGGTAAGTCCCACGATCGTTGACAGTTTTGGAAGTTGAGTTCGGGAAGATCTGTCTGACCGCTCTTCACTTACACTTTTCCCGTGCATCGGTGGAGTCCACAGCAGCGTGATTGGGAAGAAGCAGTGACATTAGTGCAGATGCGGAGTGAATCGAAGCCAGGTAGGCTGGGAGTGCTAATTCTTCCGCTCGACGAATGCCAATGCCACCTCTGCTCACGGGGAGAGACGCCTGCCGCCAACACGGATAATCATTCTTGTTGGTGCGCATTGCACAAGGTCTGAAAACACTCGCGCGTTACTTCGTCAAGCTGATAAAGCTGTTGCGGTTGCTTCCACGCGTTACAGCACCGTAACATGTACACAATCTTGGGGACACCCAGACAATTCTTCAACAGGAACAGTGCGACATGGGCAGGTAGAAGCTGTAGCCGCTCGCATGCCGTCTTCAACATGGTGGATTTCTCGACAATTGCTGGGCCGATAGCGTCATCCAAAACGGGCGCGCCGAGTAATGAAAATGTTGAGCTAGATATAAATAAAGCCGGGATTTCTTTTCTTCCGCTTCCAACGCTGCACCTGCGTTAGCTGCCGTAGACTTGACGTGGGAAGGCGCAACCGTGTCGACACAAGTGACGTCCCATGCCAAGCACATCCCTCTCTGCCAGGCGAAGGTTGTGCAGCCATCAGGACGTCGTTCGGACGTATGCGATGTGCCACGCGGCTCCAGTTTTGCCGGAATCCCAGCTGACACAAGAGATCGGCACACGATGCTGTTCAGCCCGCCGTGTCAACCGCCGCCGCCGCCGTGTATATATATATATATATATATATATATATATATATATATATATATATATATATATATATATATATATATATATATATATATATATATATATATATATATATATATATATATATATATATATATATATACTGGCTGGTTTCTTGCAATATGTATATACTAACCTTTAAAATTCGAATGTATTCGAATTTTAAAGGGCCATGTAAGTAAAAAGAAACAAGTGAGTTCCATAGCTTAACCCGCAGTCGTAAACTACGAACTGCAAACTACTCGTTGAACATTTGTCATTCGTGATATCACATAACCTAACAAATATCCTGGGTTGGAACTGCAGATTGCTAGACAAGCCTATCGTTCGGTTTTGCTAATGGAATTTAACGAAGCAGTTTTCGGTAAAACCAACGGATCAGATAATTTCACGCAACAGATGATTCAAGGATCCAAGGAACTATATAATTACACGTACCAGCCTTTCGAATTGGTGAGAATAACAGAAAATATCAACCAAAATAACCAGCGCTGCAATTAAAAGCTTACATTACTGCTCAATTAGCATGATGGTGTGTTTCCCTTCAGGTAACCCCACATCCGGCAGCCACATATGCGACGATGATGATCCTAGCTCAGGTATTGCGACAGAATTATGACGAAACAAGATTGTTTACCAAGTAAACAGTTAAATTCTTACCATGCTATCAAATCAGGATTTGCGTCATATTCGGTCATTTGTATTTACACTTGATACGCAACCAGGGAAAGGAAATGAACTTAAATAGGTAATGGAGCAATTACGGTCGACCGGGAATCAAGAGGTGTGGTCGTCTGGGAGAAAACTAGCCAAGCTGTTCATGAATCGGACATTCACCACCGAGGTCGGAGATGTTTGTATCGATGAGGTTGGGGAGCGCTTGCCGGTGATGAACTTGAACCAGATAGACTGGAATACGTCACGTGTGCGAGTAAGTATAAGGACGTGTTTTCTCCCTCCTATTTGGCTAGATAATTGAATAAAATTACAAATGCGTCATACGTAGATGCTATATGTCCTAAAAGTTCCCGAGCTTACCTTAATGAAAACGACCGAGGAGCCACAGTGGTTAATTCCGTGGCCGCCACCGAATGAACCTCAGTGCGGTTTCCGGGGTGACGCCCCAATTTGCCATCCGAAAGGTGCATAAAATAGTTTAAGAGATTAGCGAGAATTTTTGCTTTGTAGTAAAATACACGCAGTAGCAGACCAGTATGTATTACAGCCGTGATGACGATATTTTTCATAGGTGCTTTGAAAACCATAATTGGCGCTAGCGTAGGTACCATTACCGCCACGGTGTTCTTCGTATTTATTACCGCGATTTTTGTGAGGTGTGTGACAACTGCATTTCTATGTTAAATAAGGATTTTAAATAACACGCATCGAGGTTAAAGGATTTCTATCGAACTGTATTCTATGCTAACATTGTACATGGTCGATAAATACAGACGTGCCACGCAGAACGCCTTCACTTCCGAGGCGTGGCGGATCCCATCCGAACAACTGCAACCGGTACGGTAGAGTACAGTTTCGAAATAATGTTCCCTCCAAAACAATTGTAAATTTCGTGATATCAAGATTTACAATTGTAAAACTTAGGTGGAAGAGAAAAGCGATCGCGTGAAGATATACGTCAAACGTAACCAAATGGTGTGGATAAAGCCGACGCACGTCGCCCCCGCACCCGCTGCCGTAACTACATTCCCCCATCTGAACAATCCTCTGATGGCATTGCTTAAAACGGTAGATGGCGGTAGCAAAGTGCATCTTTCATAATTCTGCCAGCTGGTTGTTTTTATGCGAAATAGATACTTGACCTTGACCATGCTAATGTCTGTCGCTTCGCCGGATTATGTTTTCTTGAGAAGTCCGTGCTGCTGGTTTCGGAGTATTGTCCGCGTAGTTCCGTTTACGAACTCCTGGCTAGAACCCACTTGGAGTTTGATCTGCAGGCGTCGTTTTTGTTTGACTTACTTAAGGTAAGGAAATATGGATCAATCAGCCGCCATAATCATGTATATTTATTTTAACACACTTTAAACATTTATCAGGGTTTACAAGCAATACACCGGTCGGCCATAAAGTTTCATGGTTTTCTCAACATTCACTGCTGCTTACTTAATCGACATTTTAGCCTGAAAATTGGGAAAACAGGTCATACGCAAATCGAGACCGTATTAACACGAAACGGTGCGATTCTCGAGCCTACTAACCTTCATTTTACAAACAAAAATGCCGCATGTGAAGAAGGGCAAAAAAACGACATGTACGCAGCTGGACTTATTCTGTACCACATCATCATCCAAGAGGAGCCATTAGATTCACGAGGTCAGTGCAGAGACCGTAGTTACTAGCCGATGCAGATTAAATCAGATCGTTAGAGGGCTGATTTGATGTTTTGTTCAGTGCTTGATGTTTTGTTCAGTGCTGATGTATAAGCGTATTGCGGACCATTCTGACAGCAAATTCAGCAAACTGTTTCCGGCGCTGGTCAAATGTTTATCCGACGATGCGGAGGACCGACCGAGTGTGGGTCAACTGCTGAAGCTGTGCTTTGAAGGCTTAGCCATGAAAAACAATGAACACCTAATAGAAAAAATAATTCGCCGTTTGGAAAATTACACGGACGAACTAGACCGACTGGTTGTCCTGCGCACCATGGCGTTGCTGGATGAACGGAAGAAATGTGATATTCTTTTACGGGAAATGCTGCCCAGGTTTGCATAGCCTTATGACTTAATCTACAGTACCTGCCATTTATGTATATAATATAAAGCCAGTTATGTTCAGCATGGCAATTGAGCAGCTGCGGAAAGGCATTGTGCCGGAAGCTGAAATGTTCCTTTCCTCCACAATAATGTTCACGTAAGCATCTCTTTTAGCAGGAATTCGTAGCATATGTAGTAACGATAACACATTTTGTCAGCGAGATCGGAGGTTTTACAAACCATCTGCAAGCAACGGATCCGAAAACTGTAATGATGTTTCTAAATAATGTGAGTCGAGGATGACCTTTATACAATAAGGAAATGTTTTCTTATGACTTGCAATTATGTTTGTAGGTGTACACGTCGTTCGATCGCATTGTGGCATCCTACGATGTCTACAAAGTGGAAACAATCAAGGATTCCTATATGGTACGCACTATCAAAACCCGTTATTATCTGCTAAGAAAGACAGCTCATCGACAATGCAAAACTCGGCTCTGTAGGTCGTCAGTGGTATACCAATACGCAATGGAGATCTTCATGCGCAAGAAATCTGCGCATTGGCAACCGAGTTAATAAAAGCCTACGAAAGTATGGATACGGTATTCGACGGGACGTCATTACGTGCCGGCATCCATAGCGGCATGTGCGCCGCCGGTGTGGTCGGACATAAAGTTCCCCGCTATTGCCTGTATGCATTTGAAAACCTTAGGAAACCTTTTCCGGTGTGAACAGTGTGCGGCGTGCACACTGTAGGGCTTCCGGTTCCGTTGAAAATTCTTATGAATTTTGCAGATTTGGAGACACCGTTAACACGGCTTCAAGGATTTTGACCAATGGTTCCGATGGAAGGATTCATCTCAGCCAGAACGTCGCAGAGCTTCTCTACGGGAATTCGCGATATAAAGTGGAAGAACGTGGATGGATCGAGGTTAAAGGGAAAGGACAACTGCAAACTTTCTGGCTGATTGTTTCTTCGGCATAACTGTCTAACCTAATGCATTTCATCTGTTAACGTCGCCCATTTGATTTTATTTCTGCGCTGTTTGCAGTCGTACCGCCGTTATAATAATTAAAAATAATTATCCGGCTAAGCCGTCATCCGTAAATTAGGCCGACCCTATCTGTCTCCATTGTGAGTTCTCCGAATTCAAGGCTCTTTTCCGGACAGCTTTGCCATTTCCCCGTTTGTATTAAAGGCGCACCAGTTTCGCTGGAAACAGGCCTGGAAATACCCAAATAGAACTTACTCCGTAAAAAACTTACGTGTCGTCGCAGTCACGATGGTGAAGCAGAATTAAAGCGATGTTTCGTCGCGAGGGCATTTTGTCGCAAGAACGTTTCGATGAAGAACGAGGCGTCTCAGCGTCCATACTTCCTGCGGCAAATTTTTGCGCTTTAAGTTTGAGAGGGGCGAAATGTTACACTCCAATTGTCGGCATGCGAAAATCGCCATTCTAGTTGGAAAATGTTTTCTTTCTCTGAAAGCATGATACAAAATGCATGACAGCATGTATAGAAGCATGTAACACAGTTTTTGAGATACCTACAATAACATAACAAGTGATAATAAAACCAACAGGCTCAATCAGGCTGTCTGCTGTCTCGCTGATTCCATTTGCCGATTAACCAAAAACAGACAAATTATATCTTATTTGCAGCAAGCGCAAGAGGAATGGAAACGAGAGGCTAAACATTAGCGAAAAACTGAGGCTACAAACGGAATATTAAGAATCCGTATTTCAGTTCACAGAAGATAAAACGAGCGATACGTACGTCAAAGATGTGCTTTCAACGCCTCGAGCTTGCATTCTGATCCCACTAGCACATTCTGTCTTTAACACGGGGGTTCGTGTTTGTGCTCGTATGATCATGCTTTATAGCTCCATAAGTTAATTGTACATCTGAATTCTGAAATGAGTAAGCATGTGCTTGTATAACAACGAATACGACGACGACGACTATGTGCAAGGAATACAGTGAATGTGGATGGGATTTTGCGACACGGCGAGGATATTGACCTGATCGGTGTCCAGAACAAACGATGCCACCGGCTCACAACATCTGATCGTAGATTTCGGATGTCCTGCACGGCGGGCGGTGCTGGGCAGCTACGAAAAAGCTTTTGACTGCTCATGTCGGAACATTGTACGAGACAACTGCTTAAAGCAAGCATGCCTTTAACCAATGGGCCAACAAATCCCACAAATCCCTCCGTGGGTGCGGATAATCCCGACGTGGAGGCATTGCTCCGTGATCATCGAAATTCTTCTTGGAAATGGCATCCAGCGAAGGCGATCACGTTCCATTCGAATGACATACGTAATTAATCTCGCTTTGTTGGATGTGACGGTACCGAACCGTGTCATATTCGCGAACTATTGCCCGCAGACCAGTTGCGGTTACCACTGTCGGACAAAGAACGCCGGCGTAGATAAGTTCAGCCAGGGAATTTTGTTAAGCGGTCGCCCATTTACCCTGATGGGTTTTGGACTTCCTTAAAGCCAGTAGTGACAGCACGATAGCGCCTGGAAATACAACAGCAGACTTGTATAGGCACCGCGCATATTACTTCTGTCGATAGCGAGACAGTGGATTTTATCTCCTGGAGAAGCGAAACACCGGTGGAGGAGGAGGTACCGTTAGTTAAAGTACTGTTTAATGATCTTTGGTTCTCCTAATTTCGTTTAAACACATGTATAGCAATGGTTTGAAATAAATAAAAAAAAAGAGTACTGTATCCTAACCCTGAACTTGACGGAAATTTGTACAGTTCAGCCACGCGCACTTGTACGAGCTTATTCACCATTCACATACGCGGCTTGCAGCTAGTGCATGTCAGAACACGAATCGGCTGAACATTAAATCCGGCTATACAGCACAGTGTCTCTCATAGCGCACAAATTTTCGTCAAGTGCCAGGTTAGGGTGCAATATTCTACTTTTGCTGCATGTTGGCCTGCAGCATTCGGTACAACGCTTTCCTTCAGCAGAAAGTAAAACGTCGGTTAGTGTATGTCAAAAATTAATGGTTCATGATGATGCTGTTTTTTCCTGCCTAGGGGAGCCGAATTGCATATTACCGCCTTTTGGCAATCAACGATTTTAAAAAAGAGAAGTTTCCCGAATGACCAGAGAATTTGACAGTGCCCACAGAAAGTAGTGAATGTACTGTCCTTTGGCACTGGCGTTGGCCGGCGACATAGTCACCCCCACTGACCTATGGTCAGCACAAGCTCACAAAAATCCTCTTTCTTAATTGAATGTTTTCATTGGGAAATCCCGATTTTTAGGAGGAAACTCGCACTCCTTCGGGTACCGCCCACTGGAGGGTTAAACAAAAACATATTGGGTTACCTACGCTTTCGAGTGCTAAATAAGCATTGGCGCCGCGAAGCCGCTAAAAATTCCGTTTAGGATTAAGTTGGCAAACCAGTGCCGGTAAACATTGTAGAAAGTTTAGCCAAGTGCACAAAACAAACTTCGAGGCATGGATTTTATGGATCACATCATTCATAGAAATTGATTGCATTGTTTGTTCATTGACGAAAACTGCTGTGATAGTTAACGACCGCATTTACAGATTTCAGTAAATCACTGTAAAGGTGTTTGCTAGTGTCATATGTGTAGTTGGATGGCCGCAAGATGTAATTACAAGTTCATATTAATCCGCATCGGCAATCCGCTAATCATCTCACTTAACTGGCGAAAGAAACGAAAACAAATATCAGATATCAGCCTGCAATTGCACCGATTACGGATTCATCGGAAAGCGTTTATCGTCCGTCCGGATGATTTGCCAGCAGGCGCCCGTTCATACAAGCCGAATACGATAGGAAAAAGGCCAACATCAGCTAGATCCATGGCATATCTATCCCGGAGTTAAACGAAATTTGAGGCAGATTGAATGGTAACGCGGAAATGCCTGCAGAAAGCATTCAGCTTCCGCTTTCCATGGCGCAGAGGTGTAAAACGCCCTATTGAATATAGCACCTGGGTGGGTGGGCGATGAATGTCTTTGTTGCGTTGCTGGCACTCCAGCCGCAGCAAAAATTATGCAATCTCTGTAAGATCAGATTTTATGTCTTTGTTGCGTCTGCGTTAAAATGAGCATCTCGCTAGCCGTATTGAATTCCACTGCTGTGTGCAGTAGGGTTGACCTGGAAATCATCTCACTGGCAATTCTGTATCCGGTCATGCTGGGATCCATGGCATATGTGGGACCGGCGTATCGCCTGGCACTGGACAACATTCGGCAGAGATATCCCCGTTTAAACGTTACGCATACGATAATTTCCGATAAGAAGTACGCAGACTGCAATTCCTTCACTGCCGATTCTGTTTTCCTTACCGCGAAGCATCTCTACACTATGGGGGCGCTAACTCATAGCCAAGACGATGCGAAATGCTCTGCCAGTGTGATGCTTTTCAGCGGTGAGAGACATCTTCAAGAAAATCTTGTATTCGGATGCCCATAATTTTTTACGCACTTTCTACTTTTTATTATTGCTGTGTTTATAATATGTATGATTTCGTATTTCATACTTAGTATGATTTAATATTATGTATAATTTAATATTAAGTATCTGTTATTTTCAGATTATTTAATTCCGCATCAGCTTTATTATTATAATATTTTATCTCTCAGTTTTATTCGGCACCTAGGTATACATTAGGCTCGTTGACTCTAACTTGCTTGTATAACTTTTCTGCAAACTACAGATTTAATGCATTTAAATCAAAGTTCAGTTTGTTATTGCTGATTTCTCTTAGTATGCTCTGAAATTGATGTAATTGTGCCCTTCGTGACGCAACTAGACAAGCTGATAATAACAACTTAAATTCTTGTGGAAATTCTATCGGAGTGCGCGACGAAGGTAGATTGGGCGTTTGCGGGTAGAGCAGGTCGACGGAGCGGCGGCATACACGAAATCGAAGGTGCAGGTGATGACCTCACCGGTTCGAGTTTCCGGTATCCCCACATCCGCCCGACTGCCCCCGTTTAATACGTATTGAACAACAGAGCAGTTGCGAAACAATAAACACCATTATGTGCCGCCATGCAGGGTGGGCGGGTGGTAAAGAAAACAGCACAGAAATGAGCGCTCTTTTAGAAAACTAACAAGTCAGCACGACTGCTCGGGACAAAATGTAAAACTGGAGCAGGCCGTCTGCAAAGTCGGCGGCAACTGGAACACATTTCCGGCGCCGACAAAGAAAGTGGGCTGGGCCCCACGTAACAAAGCATACAGGGAATTTGCCACAAATTTAACTACACTTAGCTCGCTAACTGTTCTTTAAATTCTTGTGGAAATTCTATCGGAGTGCGCGACGAAGGTAGATTGGGCGTTTGCGGGTAGAGCAGGTCGACGGAGCGGCGGCATACACGAAATCGAAGGTGCAGGTGATGACCTCACCGGTTCGAGTTTCCGGTATCCCCACATCCGCCCGACTGCCCCCAAACAATCTATCCGGTCTGGTAGGGATTTACCGCGACGGGTGGTCCGGAGCGGCGAATGTATCGGGCGAAACAGTTACTGCGCCAGCGTCCGGCCTCTTGAATCGTGCGATCCGGAACATTGTTGGCTGCAGCCGTGGTTGCCGCACCAATTCTGAAGCTGTGCGTGGTGATCCGCTCTCTGTCCGGGTGGCCTTTGAGAAGACGGCGGAGACATCTCTCGACACTGGCTCTCGTGACGAACTTCCCATCCTCGCGCTGCAACAGCGGCAGCTCGTTCGCAGGTTCGGATACCCGAGCACGGTAGTTACGGTATGCCTGCACGGGACAGACCGAGCGTCCGGTCGCCGCCAGCGCTACGCTACTACCACGACCAGTCTGGTCCGTTTTCGTTAACTTGAGTTGGACGGTGAGGTGGTGACCGCCGTCCACTATGTCGCTCCATGTCAACGTTCGACGAACATCGAAGCGGCGCGTGCCTGGGGCTGTTACTTCGCTGATGCGGAAGAAGCCAAAGAATAAAAACGTAAATGTCATCCAGTATAGGGATTGTTCGTAGTCTGACATTCCGATTGTCCGCAGAGCGTCCTTTAAATATCGCATGTGGTTCAGCGTCACGGGGAGACGTCGGTCTTTCTGCGGAGCCGCTAAGCGGCGATATCCTTCCAGTGCTCTTTGCACCGTGTCATTGTCCGTGTGGCACGCTACGTCGGCTTCTCGATGACGATTTTTGATGCCAGCTAGGTACACGGCAGCGGTGCGGAAGCATTTACCGTCGGCGTATAGCTTGGCGACAAATTCAGCAACAGTGGTCGGTGTCGCAGGCAGGCTGGCCAGCGCTCTCTCTTCACAAAACTGCTTAAATTGGCAGAATGCTGCGTTATAGGTCGATCTGGTGGTGTCCGCAATGTGAGCTTGCAGCAGCTCATTCAGTTTTGAGGATCGCAATACGCCGCCTCGAGATCCGGAAATAAGTCGGGGCAGTCCACCGGGAGCAGCTCCGCTTGTGGTGCCAGTCGTCGAAAACGGCTTTGCTGGAAACGAGACAACGCATCAGCTAGTTCGTTGTTAACACCAGCTATGTGTTTAAGAGTCAGCGTCATGCCGGCGGTTGCTGCTGCTTTAACTAGACGCCGCATAATGTCCAGCACACCGCGGTTTGTGGATCTCAGGTTCGCCCATGCATGTGTTGCGCCTTCGTTGTCGCAGTGAAAGACAACTTTCCTGCCCGTCAGCTTCTCCCCCCAAACAATAACAGAAAGCAGTATCGGCACCATTTCCAAATATTCAATGCACGGTTTTAGTTTAACCACCCACGGCGGCCAGCGCTTCTGAAACCATGCACCTTGGAAAAATGCACCGAGACCATGAGTTGCGGAGGCGTCCGTATAAAGGTGGAGCACGTCCGACCGCGTCCAGTCTGGCTGTAAAAACGGAGCAGTGCCGTTCCAAGCTGGCAAAAATTCCCTCCACCAGTCCAGATCTTTATGAAAATCAACGTTCAAGGGAATTAGCTTGTCTTTTCGGTGCTCGGATAACAACGAAATCATCCGACGCGTGAAAAGACGACTAGCAGGCACGCATTTGGATGCGAACTGCAAGACTCCCAGTAGGCTTTGGAGCTGTGTTCGTGAGGAGAAACGTTGCACCCTCCACTCGTCAAGAACAGCTTGTATTTCTGCTTGCTTACCGGCTGGGAGGCTAAGAGTTTGTTTCACGCTGTCAACAAGAATGCCCAAGAATACCAGCTGAGTCGCGGGTCCTTCGGTTTTGTCTTCCGCCAATGGGACCCCGAGCTCACTGCATATTTCGGACATGGTGCGCATGAAATCACTGCACTGTGTACTGCCAGGTTTTCCCACAAAGAAATAATCGTCTACATAGTGAAGCATTGACGTCAGTCCACTTCGGGTTCGCACCGCCCAGTCAACTGCCTTTGCGAATTGCTCGAACACATATGGCGATGACCGCAAGCCAAACGGGAGTACTACGTCAAAATAGTACTTACCATCCCAACTGTATCCGAGCAGATTCCAAAAGTCGCGATGCACCGGGATCAGACGAAAGGCAGACTTTATATCCATTTTTGCCATGAGAGCACCCCGGCCTAGACTCGTCAGGATTGCAACTGCATCGTCAATGGAGCAGTACTCCAGTGGTAGCCGGTCACCGTCAATGGCATCATTTACACTGTCACCAATCGGTTGGGATAGGTCCATAATTACTCGGATTGTACCATCTTTTTTCAGCCGAGCGCCGAGCGAGTTAACAACGAAATCTGCTAACGGTGGTGATCCGAACGGCCCGATGCTGTGACCTTTCGCTACTTCCTTTTCGATGTACTCTGTTACGGCTTTGTGGTGATTTTTTGCTGTTGTTGCATTCGGCGTATATCGGCATTTTTGAGGCCCGTTATGGAATATTTGCGCGCCGTGCGCCAGAGCATCCGTTATGAACGACACAACCGACGCATCAGGGTATGTCGCAAGCAGTCCGGCAAAAGCGGTGGCGCGCAGTGGAGTAGTCGCTTTTGCCGGCACTGTCGCTTCAGGCTTCAGCTTTTGTGCAGTTGATGGCGCGATGGTTTTGCTCACCGCACTTTGAGCAGGAGTGTATCCGTCGTGCTTTACATGGCGTGGTGCATCCCCCAAAGTTAAAGTTCCGACAGATTTCCCCGTCTGTGGCGGGTGCGGTCCGAAAGGGCTGCCCGTGACCCGGCTGTCCCTTTCGCGGCAGCGGGCAGCTGCTGATGAAATGTCCTGCCACGCCACAATTCCGGCACTTATCGTCCCTTTTCCGCTCGCTATTACGGCGGCTGACTGCGTCTTCCGTCACATTCCTCAGCGGATTCTGTATACAGTCAATATATGTGTCCTCATGCTGGTGTGCCCACAAATCGTACTCCCGCGGATGGCTGGTCATAAAAGCACGAAACTGCCGGTCATACTCCAGCCAGTTAGAGATAGGCACTTCACGCTCAGCATATGATGCAATAATGTCCAGATATTTGAACAACTTTGCACTTAGCAGCGGTGCGACACTGATACGGTATGTCGCGAAGACGGAGAAAGCACTTGCCCACGAGGAAAATGAGTCGATCTTGACTTTCCCGTCTTCCGGCTTAATAGTCACTTTCCCGTCGACGAATACCATCTTGGACTCCAGCTTCTTCGGCTTTTCCACTCTGTTGCGGCGCAGCAACATATCGAAATCCACATATTCCGTAAGATCAAGCAATTTTTTACGAAGTTTCTTGTCAGGAATAGATGGGAGCTGGGGAGATGGAAACTCAGTGTCTGACAGTCGTGGTGCCGGCGGTCCCAGACGGGAAAACACATCAGGGCGGTCGCCAGTGTGCTGGGGTGCTGAGCTGCGCGCTGGTGAGTTATCGCTATCGCTTTCTTCTTCAGAGGAAGAAGAGTCGCTTCTCTTACCTCGTTTGCGATGTCTTTTCCGCTTTCCCTCGTTTGACTTGCCTGCAGAGTCCACCTGGTGCACGATTCTACCGAAGTCGTCACCAAGCTGGATCTGCAAGTTGGAAGAAGGCGATAGCGGCCGCGCGGCCTGCTGCGGCTGGGTTTTCATAATCGAAATTAGCGAGTCTATCTGCTGCTGTTGTCTTTGCTGTCCCTGCATAATGGACTGTAGAGTCGGCTCCAACAGCTGTACTTCGCTGGAGGTCTCATGAGCGGTAGCTGTGAGCGGCGTGGGACAAACGACTACGCTTTTCAAGCGGTTTTTCGGTGGCGCTTTCCCGGGAGGTCTTCCGACAGCTCGCCGTGATTTCCTGGCGGTTTTTCCACTTCTCGTGGCTGGAGGCATGGTTCACAGATTCCGTAAGAAAATTGTTATCAGAAAAAGATTTTTAGTTCGAATCACGGTACAAGATTTAAAGAAAACAGCACAGAAATGAGCGCTCTTTTAGAAAACTAACAAGTCAGCACGACTGCTCGGGACAAAATGTAAAACTGGAGCAGGCCGTCTGCAAAGTCGGCGGCAACTGGAACACATTTCCGGCGCCGACAAAGAAAGTGGGCTGGGCCCCACGTAACAAAGCATACAGGGAATTTGCCACAAATTTAACTACACTTAGCTCGCTAACTGTTCTGTAAGTACATTAAAAATATGGATGGTCGCTGTCAGTCTGGATGAAATTGCGGCCTGTCACTGGCTGTCAGGTACCGTATTACCAAGTTTACTACACGCAGAGTGACCCAATATTGAATATTTCGTCCGATCGAGACTGCAGCTCCTACGTCTTGCAAATAATCCAAAACGTGCAAAGTAATTAACCCATGTAGTGTTTCAAGCTGCTGTATGTACATAATGATCTCGAACAGCATTTCTCTGATTGTTATCAGCAACGTATCTGCCCACTCTAGTCCCGTAATTTTATCGTGCTAACACAGGGACAAATGCAGATCCACCGGTCACGCCACACTGTTAACGTTCGACACGCATTTGGCATGCTTGACGCATGCTTGGTATAATTTAAACAGTAAACTATCGATATAAATGATAAAATATTAATTTTCCTCATTTGGAATTGGAATTATTTAAGATCTCGATAGAAATGAGTTCGTCAATGTCGTAGACGTAGTGCATGGGCAATCATTCATAACGCAACTTCGTGATAAAAATTATACGATCGATATTTTCGGCCAAGCCTTTACAGTTTGTTATTAGTAGCTGTGCACTAAACATTAGATAGAAGACAACCCTATACATCGTGCACGTTGTCGAGTTTTAGGCTACCGAGTTGCATGTTACAATAGTTAACAATAATGTTTTCACAACCCTTTATTACTTTCTGTCTATATCGTAGTGTTGGAACTAACCCAAGCCTCCGTAAGAAAACAATTACGCCAACGTGGATCGGGACTACGTGCAACTCCTTCCAAATTATTGTAAACATGGTGCTGAGTACAGCGAAAAAGTTCCGTTGGACGTCCGTGGGTGTCATAGGCGATACCGGTACCAATCGGGGTCATGCGGTCTTTGCCAGAGAATCGGCCCAAAAGTTAATTGCAAATGGCCGTCAAGCTTACCTGGAATCATATAACTCATCGAATACGACAGATAGCGAGCGGATTGCCGTGCTTCGCCGTCTGAACGTTCGAGCGCGAGGTGAACCGTGCATATGTATATATTATTACGTAGTAGTTTTAGAACTTGAAGGGTGGTTGAGTTGTATTTGAGCTTGTTGGTTGCAGTTTATTTTTATTTTGGGGATTTGGGTGAATTTCGACGATTGCTTCTGATGGCAGCAAACCTCAACATGACCAGCGGCGAGCACGTAAGAACTTATTAACGTTCAGCATGCACTCGCTATTTTCTTAACATTTCAACACCCTGTCAGTGTACCTTGTTAGGTGTACATACCTTTCGCGGCATTCCGGAGGAGCTCGGAACCCGGTTTCTATTCATGGGATAAGGGCGATAGTGACGACGAGGTGAAGTATGCTGCATTTCTCACAGGATTATTAAACAAAATGCTACTTACTAAATATCTGCTATTTTTTGGTGCGTTTCTAAGCGATGCCGCGATATTACTATATCGTCATATGCGCAAGTAATTTTAAATGAAAACTAATAATAAACTGCGTATCAACTTGCCTGTGCCGAATAAAACAATAAAATAAGTGATATTAGAATATAAAAAAATGGCAGAGCTAAGGTTCTGTACAGCATAAGCCACACGGGCTCCTGGCAGATCACTGAATTAACGTACTTCTAGATAAATGCAGTACGTTACTTCGGGAAAATTCAGGTTTGGTATTGCAGATTGTTAGGCAAGCCTATCGTTCCGTTCTGTTGATGGAATTTAACGAAGCAATTTATGGGAAAACCAATGGTTCAGAAAATTTCACCCAACAAATGATTCAAGGATCCAAGGAATGGTACAATTACACATATCAACCTTTTGAATTGGTGAGGAAGACAGAAAATGATTGCAATTATCAGCTTACGTTACCGCTTAATTAGCATGATGGTGTGTTCCCCTTCAGGTGACGCCACATCCGGCAGCCACATATTCGACGATGATGATCCTGGCACAGGTAGAGCGACATGTGAAGAAAGAATTTTGTAAACAACTAAAGTTTTTACCATGCTACTGAAACCTACTTACGTCACTTTCAGCCATTGGTATTTTCACTTGATTAGCAACATAAGAAAGTGGACGAAATTAACATAGGTAATTGAATAATTACGTACGACCGGGAATCAAGAGGTGTGGTCGTCTGGGAGAAAATTAGCCAAGCTGTTCATGAATCGCACATTCACAACCGACCTAGGAGATGTTTGTATCGATGAGGTTGGGGAGCGTTTGCCGATTCTCAATCTGAACCAGTTGGATTGGAATACATCGCGTGTGCGGGTAAGTAAGGAGTTTTTGTTTCAATATGTGGATACGAGTAGGTGACCAGTAAATAAAAAAACAAATGCATCATACGCAGATGCTCTGTATCTTGAAAGTTCCCGAGCTTACCTTGATGGAAACCACCGAGAAACCGCAGTGGTTAATTCCGTGGCCGCCACCCAATGAACCTCGCTGTGGATTCCGCGGAGACGTTCCGATTTGTCATTCAAAAAGTGCTTAAATTACCTATAGACCTTTGCTGCAAAAAAATACGTTCAAATTAATGGTGTAAATAATGCTGCTAGGTGCGCTGGAAGCCACAATTGGCGCTAGCGTCGGCGCCAGCATCGCCACGTTCTTACTCATATTGATTACCGCAATTTTTGTGAGGTACAGAGTATATATGTAAAACTGCATGTCTGTACTACTGTAAACAGTGATTTTATATACAGAGCCGGGCTTCCTGATTAAAACCAATATCAAGCTACTCTAAAAATAAACTTGGTTAATAATTGCAGACGTGCCACGCAGAACGCCTTCACTTCCGAGGCGTGGCGTATCTCAGCCGAGCAACTGCTACCGGTACGGCACAGTACCGTTTCGACGAAATATTCCGTCAAAATACTTGTAAATCGTAGAAGATCACGATTGATCGTTGCTGAATTTAGGTGGAGGATAAGAGCGATCGCGTGAAGATGTACCTTACACGCAATCAAATGGTGTGGATCAAGCCGACGCATGTCGCCACCGAACCTGCTGCCGTGATTTCATTCCCACATCTGAATAGTCATCTGATGTCATTGGTTAAAACGGTAGATTCCGATAGCAAAGTTTCTGTTTCATAGCTCGTTCAGTGAATTTTTCTTATCTGTAATAGGTGCTTGACCTTGACCATTCTAATGTCTGTCGCTTCGCTGGTTTATGTTTTCTTGACAAATCAGTGCTTCTGGTTTCGGAGTATTGTCCGCGTGGCTCCGTTTACGAACTTCTAGCCAGAACCCATTTGGAGTTTGATTTGCAGGCTTCATTCTTGTTTGACTTACTCAAGGTAAGGTTACACTGATCAGTCACGAGGTTACTGGTTTTGCTGGATCAGACTGCCTTATCAATTACATAGGACCGTATTGCATGCAACTACATACGGTATACCTATAGCAGTTCACGATTTTGTTATATGTACTGTTGTTGCTGATCTTACCAGAGGTCTACAAGCAATACACCAATCTACAGTGAAGTTTCATGGATTCCTGAGCATTCACTGCTGTTTACTTGATAACCATTTTAGCCTAAAAATTGGGAAAACAGGTCATATGCAAATCGAGGCCCTATTAACACCAAACAGTGCAGTCCTCGAGCTTGCTAACCAACCCTTTACGAACAAAAATGCAGCCTACGAAGAAGGGCAAAAAAACGACATGTACGCAACGGGGCATATTTTGTACCACATCATTATCCAAGAGGAACCATTAGAATCACGAGGTCAGTGTAAAAACCTCATTTGCCAACAAGTTCAGATCTAATTCGATCGTTTATGTGACTTAATTTTTTGCGCAGAACTGATGTATAAGCGCATCGTGGACCATTCTGACAGTAAATTCAGCAAACTCTTCCCGCCGCTGGTAAAGTGCTTATCAAACAATCCAGAAGATCGACCAAGAGTGGTTCAGCTGCTGAAGCTGTGCTTTGAGGGCTTAGCCATGAGAAACAATGAGAATCTCGTCGAACGAATCATTCGCCGCTTGGAGAATTACACGGACGAGCTTGATCGACTGGTTGTTCTGCGCACCATGGCGTTACTTGATGAGCGGAAGAAATGTGATGCCCTATTACGGGAAATGCTGCCCAGGTTTTTATTTACCCGACTTTACTGAACATACAGAATTTAATTAAAACATATGCTTATATTTAGCATGGCAATTGAACAACTGCGCAGAGGCACTGTGCCGGAAGCCGAAATGTTCATTTCCTCCACGATAATGTTCACGTAAGGATCTCTATAAGGACGAATTTGGTTCATACTCTGTATGTGACAACGCTTGCGATATTTTGATAGTGAGATTGGAGGTTTTGCCAACATTGTGCATGAAACGGATCCGAAAACGGTTATGTTGTTCCTAAATAATGTGAGTGGAAGGTTAACTATGTAAAATAGCTAGAACAGTGTGTATACGATGGGATGTTTCCTTCATGCTTATGGTCCAGGTGTACACGTCGTTTGATCGCATTGTGGCATCCTATAACGTCTACAAAGTGGAAACAATCAAGGATTCTTATATGGCAAGCAATATCACAAGACCATCAGATAAAAAAAAACAGCTCACTGACAATGCGAAAACTGGGTCTGCAGGTCGTCAGTGGGATACCCATACGCAATGGCGATCTCCACGCGCAGGAAATTTGTGCATCAGCCACCGAGATGTTGAAAGCATACGGGAGTATGGATGCGTTGTTTGACGGGACATCACTGCGTGTCGGCATCCATAGCGGCACGTGCGCCGCCGGTGTGGTCGGACAGAAAGTGCCCCGTTATTGTCTGTATGGATCAGCAACACCTTAGCAAGCGTGTGCATTCTGGCACACTGTCTGCCAACAGGTTCCATTATGAAATTTTCTTTATTTTTTAAAGATTTGGAGACGCTGTTAACACGGCATCAAGAATTTTGACCAGTGGCGCTGATGGGAGGATTCATCTCGGCCAGAACACCGCTCGGCTTCTGTCTGCGAATTCGCGATATCGAGTGGAAGAACGTGGATGGATCGAGGTTAAAGGAAAAGGTCAACTACAAACGTTCTGGCTGGTTGTTGCTTCCACCTCGGCATAGTTGTCTAGACAAATATATTTAATCAGCAAACGTTGCTGCGATTTTGTCATTAGCATATTATTAGGTGCATTTGTTTTTATTCGTGCGCTGTTTTACTAATTTACATGCATAAAGCAAACCAGCAAGACCGAGCTGTACGAGTAGCCAGTGCTGGCCAGATCTGTCGCTGTTGGAAATGTCAGTAATTTCAATATTTGTATGTAGAAGATATGTATCATATATTTATCTAATTTTTATTTTATATGATAAAATAAACTGATGGCAGATATATTACGGTATCTAGATGTTATAACATGAAATCTTCATAAGAAATCAAAATATTAGAACGCAGGTATATATATATTCGTTTCGCTCAAGATTAAAATTCAGTTATTGTGCTTGAAATACAGCAATGGCAAGCAAATTCAACAAAAATGCGTAGTGTGTTACAAATTTCGTTCTATGTATCTGCTGATCGCGAGATTACAAAGGTACTGCAGGTGGTTTATTCGTGGGAGTTCTAAAACCACTTAAAGATTTCAACCCGGACTAAAACCGTAGTAATCTTTCGTTGACCATCTCATTTTTTGAGAACATAATACTGTAATATTCGATTTTGCTTTCGTAGAGACACTGAACCTTTGTAATTACTTGTAGAGCAGATCATACGGCGTGGATAATAACCTGTGTAAAACGAAATTGCATGCAGACGAGTTCACACTTTTAAGTAAATTACATCACGAATCACACAAGTAACAATACGTAACAAAAATCCACGACATCCAGACGATTTTGTATTGTACATTGCCGCATCTGATCTACTGAAACTCGAGCGACACAAAAGTGGCGGGGGAGCCCTGATACGTCACAAGTCGCGTACGTGAGGGTACTTCACATTTTTCCACAAAAAAGAAAATTAAGAAGAGCCGATGGCCGCCACCGGAAATTTTAACTCGGATCCGTGATGCGACCAATAAAAACTGGAACATTTGCTACCTCATTCCAGATGATTACCAAAAACGGGCGATTTGCGACAAAGTCTGGTGATGAACGACTGCAGTCACAGCAGTAATCTCCGATACAACAACCCGTTGCAGCAGCTGCTTTTACGCCGTATTCGTCCACTTCTGAAAACGATACACTGCCATTAAACTTTACAGTCAAAATAAACCAATTATCTCACCTAAAACCACTTCCTGCCGGAACACATCGACCTGCTTCGGCCAATGAGTATCTTCAAACATGCCACTAAAGTTAGTCACCGACGGTTCAAACATTTCTTGAAGACCCATGGCTTTCGCGCCCGGTATCAAATCAACCCCGCAGCTGATGCGGAACTTCGGCATGACAACATAGTGAATTCCATCCGAGCTTCTTTCTCGCAAAGCCAGTAGTTTCTCAATGGTTAGCTCCTTCTCTAAATCGCTGATGCCTCCGGTATTCTCAGCTGGCAGTATCAGCATAACACTGAACTTCCTATTCGCGACGTTAAGGATGACCATCTTGGGCTCTCCAGATGCATCCATGTTCGAAGCCCTGACCCAGGTCTCATTGTTCTTCATGAATTCCACTGTCTTCTCAACGCCCTTTGGACAGTAGAAAATGTCGAGTTCGGTGTCCTTTTTGTCGAAGGGAATTTCCCATTGACCGGAGAAATCAATGATATTCACCAGAATTAACAGCGTCGTCGGCTTGACTTCGCTCAACAAGCTGATTATCTTTCCCTCGGTCTTTTCCGCTACAAAATTATTTACTATCGTTAACGCTTCGCCGGGAGATTTTTCGAACGGCGTTTTAGAAAACCCGAATTGCATTGCGCTTTGAATTGTTTCCTGATACTGGGGAGCCAAACAGCATCTATCATCGTAAAACGCTGCGTTCACTGATTTCAGCGCACCGTCCGTATTGACAGCTTCAAGATTTCGGATTATTTCCGAAAAATCTCTTCCGGCTTGACACAATAATTCCGTTAGAGCGGATTTCAGTTCGCCACCGGCTCCGGGAAGAATGGCAGCCAGGATTACTTCCGCTGAGTATGGACTGACGACGATATTCGCGTCAGGAGTATTTGCTGTCTGAATCACAGCCTGGAACATTTTTACCGCAAAACTGCTCTCCGGGTTGATGCTGAAATCCTTTGTAAATGGTGGGTATTCTCTCTGCACCCGTTTCGGGGCTTCCCGTGGCCGGCGTCCCAAAAAGCTCTTGAAAATATCAAGAAATTTCCCCATGGCTGTTGCAGATTTTCCCCTTTATTCACGAGCAGTAAGCTTCTGTTGAAATAAACATGCGCAGGACAGCAAAATACTGTAAAAGGATTCAAATTCTTAAATGTTGAAAGATCCAGCACAATCGTTACTGATATACGTGATGCATTATAACTGTGCGAGCAGTGCTTCCAGAAAAGGCATTTGTAAACACATACAGCGGCATTATCACGGCTGATACGGCAACAAGCATGGTCTGCAAAGGCTGCATTTCAGGCAAACTGCGTAGGCTCAGGCTGATGTACTCGTACTGTAACTTGTTACATTATTTTTACAAGGCGCATACCGCATGACATACCAATAATACTACACAGAAGTTGCGCGAGCCGTTGCCGATACAAAGCGACGTGACCGTGTGTGAACATCGGTCGATCGATATTTTTTGCTTGTGGCGGTAATCAACCACTTTATGCTCTGCACTGAGTGCACTCGGCATCTGGCAATGCGCATGTATGTACAGACTGTACTGTATGTATTATTTTACGCTGCCATTTTTACCACCACTGCGGGATACTGCGCCGTAGCGCCGGTTTAAACATGGCTGTTCACTGCGCTACCGCACGGTGGATTAGCCATGCTAGACGTTTGCGATTGGCAAGACACAAAGTTGTGAGAGGCAAAAATGGCGCTCGTAAACTGAAAATTCCGATGCAGGACCACCGAGAAGCACATTTAGCGCTGCGCGGTGTAGTGGCAGATGCTGCTTCGTTACGCTATACCAAGAAACGCGCCTTAGTTCGTTACGCTACCACGATGGGTGTAGTCACGGACCAATAGTAATGTTAAGGATCGAGTTAACTTAAACGCCATTCCCGAGTTACAACGCTACTAAATTATGCTCGAAAATATTGTGAGATGCAGCCTGTCAAACTGCTATGTATACTGCAATACATTAAAGGTCACTCTCCAAAGCTCTAAAAAGTATCCTTTTTATTTATTTTATAATATTATATTATAGGACATTTTGTTGTTTGTTGCTGTATATTTTATGTTGTTAGGAAACAGTTCCATCAATTTCCATCAATTTTCTGTTCACAAAAACATTGATTATTGTGGATTTTAGCTGCTGACATCCTTGAAAATTCATAGAAAACAAGCAAAACATCAGGTATCGTAGTTCATTATGAATCCGCACAATTTAAATGAAGGTACACTGTACGTATATAACATTACCGAATAACAAAAAAGGCGGAGCAAATGAAGTTAGCGTTTACACTGGTGCCGATGTGGTAAAAAAAGATCGGCTGGATTTTGGTAACAATTTGAATGTCACCAGAATTGGACCGAACTGATGGTTTTACCACCAATAAATTTTATTGGTGAATTGCCGAGAAAAATATGGAACAGTTCTTTGGAATTTGAAGTGGAGCACGCGCGTTCGGATAAAGATAGATGTCTTCGTCTTCCGTGTCTTCCGAACGCTTTATCCGCGTCGGCGGAGGAATTTTACCAGCTCCACCAAAACCAATTCGACAGCACTGAATCCATTCGATATGCCACTGTAAAGGTCAAAATTTATTACGGTTTGAATTGACTTTCTTAAACCTCTAAAACGCTAATTTAGAATCGCTTCAGGCACAATATATTTGCACATATTAGCCTTGAAGAATGCCATTTGCTGTAATAATATTATGTCTTCTAAATTACTTAATGCATGTTATCAACTTATTGAGTTGCATTAATGCACGTGCATTCCTCAAGTCACGACTGTTAGAAAGGTCAAACGCACCTCGCCATAGATTGGGTTGATCTTTTTCGATATGCCCGTCATGACATAGCCGCCGGCACAATAAACAATGACATGTTGCAAAGAATCCTAAAAAGCGTACATTTGTACCGCGAAATAAAGGTCACAGGCCAGCGTGTGCGGTAAGCGTGTGCTCAGCAGACTTACATAGTATTCCCAGTACTGGTCATGCGTTGGCATGCTATAAATAAGCACATTTTATTGTTCATTAGATGCATATAAGCATATACGTAAGCATTTTATGAGTATAAACGATTATATATAGAAATATATGCCATAGATCCATGTACTGATATATTGGCTACCACCCATTTCGCCAACGGGACATTTCGCCAACCGGACATTTCGCCAACCAGACAGCAGCAATTCGAATTGAAATTATTACACGGCAGCTCGAATCCAAATTATCACTAACTGTTCGAAAAATTTAAAATGGAGGAAATGAAAACCTATGAACAGAACCTAAGAAAACTGATAAAATTTTAGCATATCTACAGATAAGAAAATCAAAAAACCTAAGAAAAGTTAAGAAACCTAAGAAAACCTAAGAAACCTAAGAAAACCTATGAAACCTTAAGAGGACTAAGAAAAGTAGAAAAATCTAACAAACTTTATGAGGACTAATGGTAAGAAAAGTTGAAAAATCTAAGAAACCTAAGAAAACCAAAGAAAGTAAGAAAACCTACGGTTGTCGAAATGTCCCGTTGGCGAAATGTCCGGTTGGCGAAATGGGATGATACCGATATATTGATCTACGTCCTTATTTTTTGGAAATTATGTCCTACTTCTCTGTTATACTGGTGGCAGCTGCGGCATTCACTAACCTACGTCCCTCTGTGATACTGGTGGTAATTTGGAAACTCACTAATCCATGTTCATCTGTGCCAGCTTTAAATACGTCAAAATAATTAGATACCCAGATAGCTAAAAGGTCACAAAATAGATTAAAAAGACAGGAAAGTATTGAAGAAATAGTTATATTTTTTTAAAATTTTTTATCATGCATCCTGAGCCGTACGCTGTATCGTTTAAATTCATTTTAAATTTTTTGTATGTTTTTATGGCTGGTTCAGCTGCTTTTTAAACATTTTGCATTTGAATTATATTTTAAAATCTGTTTTGTTCCTGTAACTACCGACTGTATATTTAATTTCTGTAATCTCTTTCGTATTATTCCTTACCTCAAAAACAAGTACTCGCGCGCTAGCTCGGCCGATACTTGTTCTTTAATAGTGCTACGGGTTTTGGCTTTTGCCGAAAGACAACAAGTGTTACAAGTGGCTTTTGTCGAAAGCCAACCGTGACAAGTTCTACATTTGATCATATTTGTTGAACGAAGCTCGTCTTGTACATATTAAGAAATAAAATATATTCTAAAAAGTATTACCTCAAGATGTTGATCAATAAAATTATTATGTTGTAAATTTGTAACGTACTAGTAGCAGCTGGTGTAATCAATATAATATTCCGGGGGCGCTCTACAACATTTATACGGCTGACTTTTGTCCAAACCTATTCGGGACACCAAAAACTGCGATTCATCGTCCCAGAGTCCTGCAAAAGTAAAGGCTAGCATCATATTCATCAACAATAACCGACTGGGTTTAGACTTTAGACCATGTTTCTTGCCTGTAATAAATGAATTCGCAGTGAGTTGAATTTGATGGGGATTGAAGCAAAAAAATTGCGACGTGTAATTTCTGGGGAAGCATCTGCATATAAAGAATCAGGTTTATGCTACGTGAATAAACATTAATCCTGCTTTCTTACATGGGATAATAAGGATACATCCCGTTTGCGGGCTGTTTGTGCGGAAACAAAAATTTGCACCAAACAGCTTCCAGTTTCTGTAGGCAAGTACGGTCAGAAGTATGAGAAGCGCGAGCGTTCAGTTCAGTAAATAATAAATATGCACTAAGTACTGATAAATTTTGGAATTAATAGAGAACTCATACCTGGAAATCGTTGACCATATCCCTGAAAAGCGGAAAACTCCTAGTTTTCGACATTATTAGCAAGAAGCAAAATCATGTGAATTACGGCGGAGAGTTTGGTAAGTTGGGACACTGCTTAACAGGTGACTTAACTCAACAGTATTAAATGCAAGAGCGAAACCTTGGATGTTATAGAAACGAGAGAAACACATGATACACATGAAACCCATGAAACACATGAAATACACAAAACCGAAATATTATACGATGAGTACATGAAACATGAAACAGAAACCTAATAAAATACCTAGCAAGAAAAGAAACCTGAAACAATGAAACACTAAAGCATTAAAACGTTAAACAAACAAAGGATACATGAAACACGAAACATGAAACGCGAAGTATAAAAACCCAAGAAACCTTAAGTTAAAAACTAAGAAACTAAACAAGAAAAGGAACACGACACACTGAATCATAATGCTCGAAGCGAACAAACGAGCCATGAAACATGAAACGTTTTAAGTTTTATTGTTTACCGAGTATTACTTCATGTCTCTTTTGTTTCATTTTCTAGTGTTAACTGATTCATGGGTACCATTGTTAAAGGTTTCCTCTTTCGTGTTTCAAGCTTCGCAGATCATGGTATTAAACCGGTTGTTTCTAGGGCTCGTAAAACCCGCTTAGCTGTCCAACTCGCTTTTTGCGGTTTTAAAAACGCGTTGGCCCAACTCGCATATTCTATTTATTACGACTGAAAAATCTTAAAATATAATGTCGTTCAAATAATGCCGCACAGGGTTCTAAAAAGGCATAGTTGCTTAAACTGCCAATTAAAACAACTTTTCGGTTAATGGTTGAACGGTTGAACCTACTGTATTCCGACAAGAGCTTCTCCATCAAGACATTCCACATGCCACTTTCGCTCTATCAAAGAGTTTTTCGTTAAAGGAGCCGCAAGTTTAAACTTAGCTTTAAATCCGTACAACTACTTTCTGACTCCGTGATTAGTTATTCCCACCTATATCGTCGTTTCCCGAATGTGCGTGGAGAGTTTGTATTATCGTGTCCCCCTAGAAAAATGGCGCTCCATATAGGTACCATGCCGTATGCAACAGTGGGAATGTTACATACTATAGAGCAATAGGTTTTTGCGTTTTTGCGTTACTTAGACATCATATTCAATTTTTGCAAAACTGATGCACAGTCGCGAATCAGGTGTTCGAAAAGCTGTCCGAACACGCAATCTACTCGTATCACGGTTACAAGAACGTGTTTTACAGTTACAATTTTATCAAGAAGCCATACGAAAGATCATGCTTCAAATCCTAAATTCAAAGATGTTTTGTACGCCAGAGTAATCGTCCATGAAAGAAAGCTCCTTGCGCACTGGAGAACTGATCAAACAACGAGTGAATGCCAAAAACTTACAGATCCGTATGAAAGGTATGATCCATAATACCGAGTGGTACAAAAAACGGGAGAACCAATCAAGCTAATCCATAGAAATAATATCGACCGAAAGAAATATGTATTCAAAAGGCGGTGTTTTATCATTTTTTAGTAACAGAAGGAGGAAAATGGGAAAAAGCTGCTCCTTTTTGGATAAATCGTCGTAAACTCTGTAAATTGTAAGAGGTTTTTTGTCGCTCGGCTACAATGACAATCATTTGGACAGTGGTACAACGTCGCATCTGATGAGCATGACCTGACAGCAACCGCTAACAATGACCTGGTTGCCGACATCGGTTATGATGATTAAGGATTCTTAACCGTTGTTTTTTCTAACAGTTAATTTCCAGTGCGGGAAATTGTGCCCGTTCTCACGCTGTTACAACAAACGCAGAATTTCAAGCAACGCTGGAGATCAATAGCATAAAATATGCACCAGTGTCAAGCGAAGTGAACTACAACAAACACGATCGCTATCAACTTCAGTATACGGCGCAATCAACGAGTAGGCATGTGGTACGAGTTACGACTACTCTAGGTTTCTTGAACACAACATAATACCTGCCTTCTGGGTAGATGAATAGATATGCCGCAGTTTTCTTTAGGAAGTTCTGTCTGGTTATGATTTACCCTCAAGCACTGGCTGTCAAATAAAGTTAAAGTTTACCGATTGATTGCTTGGACAGATTAAAGACACTTTGCGTTTGGTATTAGCAATAAAAAGCGCCAAGTCATATTGTACGGTACAGATACTGCCAAGTCAGCAGACGCACTACCATGCTGATCGCTATACACTGTGCACTGATCGTTATGCAATGTGGCTCCATATCTTGCTTGTATGCAGTTTCCGGCTGTTGCTGACTTTCGATTTCCACCGATCGGAAACCGGTTGTCTACTGTTGCTACTTTGTAACTTTAAGTACTAACATACTATCTGGAATTTACAATCGCTATGGTATTGGTTAATAACCTGTGTAAGACACCTTTCATTTATAACTGGAACGCATTTTTTTATCACGGTGGAAACCTACAGAGACACGGTAGTCACAACCGTGAAACCTTGTATACACTTGCCGGCACATGGTTTCGACCATGAAAACGTAGCGTTACTCTGGTGTCTACGATCCGTCAACAGATGACTACCGATGCATTAGGGAAAGCTGCCTGTGTGTAAGGGTAAACTAATGTACCTGCACACCTCTGCAGAGCCTGTACTAGTATATATTCTAAAAGAATAAGAAACTACACTGAGTACAGTCTATAGGTGCGACACTTGATGTCTGTAAATTTCTAAATGATGTCTGCTAAAATGATATCATGACTACATGATGTCTGCTAAAATTTTAAGTACTCTAAGAAGAACAAACTTTCCTGAATCCGCCAAAACAAAAAGCCTAAAAAAAACGAATCAGAAGAGAAATAACAGAAAGCGGCCCACTTAAGTGTCTGTCGCCCATTCACTTATCATAGTGGCCCTCTTAACTGTCTTTTCGAGTAGAATTCAGCCTTTCACCCGCTTACAACCGCTTGTTGTCCTTGCCTAATTTCTCACACCCAACAAAACTCTGACTGCGTCTTCGGGTTGCCTACAAATGACTACTGTGACTACACAAAGAAAAGGCACGTTCCAGGTTTTTCTTTGGTACAACACGTCCCAAATAATTACACCCAGAGCTTAGCCTATGCCGCGATGTCCATGTGCGCTTAAGTTGCACATTATAGCAGTTCAGGAAAGTATTTTCGTGCGGGATGCCTTCACTTACTACGAACAAGGGGCGCGATCCGCTACATCGAGAACGTAGAAGATGATAGAAAACACCGGCACCCAGTTTTTTCGTTTGGTATTATGCCATAGTAACATCTTGGCTTCACTGGCTTTTGAGTAATTATTGCGGTGCTTAGATGAACCACAAACGGTACCGCAAGATGAACGTGCACTACTGCCACATCCAGCCGCGGCCTTTCCCTCCCATGCATCGCCCACGTTACATAGACACGCGAGCAGAGTGTGTCTTTTCCGCACATTAAAGTGTGTGGTGCAAGTTCGTTTAGCGAATACAGTACTTGCTACTGCCATATCTGCCAGAAACTGTGGTAGAATCTTTAGTCTTACGTGCAGAACTTTCTTTACTTGACTCTTGTGCAAATCACTTCAATCAGAAGTGGACGTAAGACTGTTCCTGCCAAGAATGTATTGCTGCAAAAAAATCAGTGCGTTGAAGGCTTTACCCAGATTTTCCTAACTATATGCATTTTTTAACTTTCCTGCCCCCGTGCTATTTAGAAACACCCCATGTTTTTTCGTGATTTAGTACTGTGAAGTGTAAGGTCGTTCGCAAATTATTCAATCAGTTAGACACGACGAACATGTATTTACAATTATGTACATATCAGGCAGATGCACCTCCGTCAAAAGTAATATCTGTACTTGGTTTAAGATTTTAAAGCGGAGTATTTGCTTTTTGATTGCACACTTTTATTGGCCTAGTTGTTTGGTTAGTATGCATATTTTATCTGGATTGGTGTTCTTATCGCCAGGCTGATAGCACGTACTGTACATACCGATTTATTAGCGGCGATTACATATATGAGCACACAGCAGCAGCGCACGGTAAGCATCACCGCAGATTGCTGGTATGCTTGTTGCAGTCGATTCTATTCCTATTCCGGCACTAAAGACTGGTAGTTTGCTGTTTGCATTGCGTAAATTCCTGACAACACAACTATTATCTGTACAAAAGTGATCTTCGTGTGCTCTGGTTGCTCTGCTGTGCCTGCACATTGCATCAGTGCCAGCTGCCAAATCATTGGGCATCACAAGTATTGCACTGACCGAATAAGCAGGCATCGATAGAGCAAGTTGCGATCTGAAGTTGGTTACGTATCGTGACGTGTAAAGAAATTTCATCTTTAACTTGTGACAGAAAAAAGCAGTAGTTGCATTTTAAATATTTATGGGCTGTTGTGCCAGCGCGACATGCATTTGTACGAAAACGGCAATCGATCAGCAATCTACAGATGGAACAGCGTGTACGTGGAATTAGATGGGATGCTGCAGCACGGCAATGTTATCGGCCTAGAAGAAGTCGCCGGCGGCTCAAAGCGCTTGATCGTGGATTTCGGATATCCGGACCAACGATCAGTGTCCATTGAATACGGGAAGATTCTTGATTGTTCCGATAAAATGAAGGCTGATGCAACGTGGACGTCTTCAAGCAACCAGCTGTCCGGTTTGCTGACCGGTGCGGATGATAGCGCCAGCGTGGAGGTACTGATCCGCGATCGCCCCAGTCATCCATGGAAAAGGTATCCCTCCAAACTGCTTTTGCACCAGCACTGCATGGAAGATTTAACAAATGATGCTGTCGTGGAGGTGAGACTGGCCAACCACATCATTCACGAACTGCTTCCACGGAAACAAATGCGGTTGCCGCTGTCAAAAGAGGCCCGCCGGCTCAGAGTACTTCAACCTGGTCATTTTGTATTGCGCTCGTGCCAGTTCGGAGAAGGATTTTGGACTACGCTAGAACCCGAGATTGCAGCTCGTGTTCACCGCGAAATTGATGACACTCGCATCGTTTCTGTCGTGGGCGAGACGATGGTCTATCTCCAGCGGCACGCTGACAAACCACTGGAGGAGGAGAATTTAGTAAGTTGAAATTATGCTGCGTACAATTTCTTAAACCTAATTGTACAATACATTTGATTCTCAGCTAAAAATAAGAAGCCACAAAATTAAAGGCCGTTGCAGACAAGTTAATTTTCTTTTCTCGTGTAGAGCAAGATGTTTACATTGTTACTCGACAACATTCGCAACAGTATTAAAAGAGAAACCCGCTACAAGTCACCTATTGTGATGAAACAAGCGGAGACCGCGAGCAACGACGAACTCTCTTTGAACCTGCCAGTGGAGTTACTGAAGGAAGTCTTTCTGATTCTGGATACCATCGAGCGGCAGCGTTGCCGGCGCATTTGTCCGCTGTGGAACGAAGTTATAACTTCTCCAGAGCTGTGCCGCGATGTCCATGTGCACCTTTATCCAAAGCAGACTAATATTTTTCCGAATTCCCATTACGGCGCTTTTGCAAGCATTTTCAAGCACTTTACATCGATGACGCGGACGGTTTTCGTAAGAGACGCCGTTATTTTTGGCATAGACAGTAAAGGACGGGAGATCCAAAGCAGCGCCGGTGCGGCGATCACCTGCATCCGGCACTTGCTGGAAACCACCGGTACTCGCCTGGATCTGGTGGTGCTCATCGACAGCAATACGTCGGTCTTCGGCCGTCACTGGAATTTGGGAGATTACTTTAACAACCTGGCGCAGGCATACACCGGAATGGCAGTGCGAGGCGCTCGCATAATTTGGAGGAATTGTTCACTTTCCTACTGTGAAGAAAGGTACTCCATCGTGTTCCGCATTCCCCATGCAGGTTTCTGTCTGCGTACCATTAATGCGACGCATATTTGGAACTTGTTTGAGGAACACTTAGATTATGGAAAGCCACTAGAAGCGGATCTCACTGCGCAGTGGATAGAAGAACAGATCACGACAAATTCCACTAGAAACTGTGTTTCAGTTATCCAGGTGATGTGCAGATCTTTAAGTAAAGCACAACTTCGTAAAAATATGTACATCAAGTGGCAATGACAATTCCTTTGCAGATACTGGACGCCTGTCAAAGCTGCGATCCGCGTCCACCTGCGTATTTGTTCAACCGGAAGTGGACGCTTGACAATCTGGGAAGCTTACAAATTGGAGGATTAAATCGGCTCTGTTTGTATGGACTGTCTAACTACATTTTAAAGTGGAGCGGAACATATTCAGCAAACGACCGCAAGCTGTGACAAGGAAAACCCAACCAATAAACTGCAGCGTTCTATCGCCAAATTAGGATGTTTTGGTTTCACCTTTTGAACACAAAGAGCTTAGAAGTGCTCTAAAAACCGATACAGTCTTAAAAACGAAAATATAGCACATGTGTACTTAAAAGCGAGATTAGATTCCCGTAATCAGTATGACTTTTCCCGGTAATTCGCACCTGAACGGTTTAGCCAAAATCGATGTTGTGTTATGTCGCAGTGACAGTACCTCTGTAAAGTAAGCAAAAGTGTTAAGTGGATCTTACCACAATCTTGAACAATATTGAACCGTGCGTGGAGACTACGGATATTACCAATACTCGTAGCCATCCAAAATATGATTAGTTTGCAAGGCTGATCAGATCGCCCTGCAAACTCATGCAACACGGAAATTATGCCCAGATGACCCGCTGAACTCAAACCTATACTCCTAGCGATGAACTCCCTCACTACGAGCGAAATCATCAGAACGCTTGTCCACGAACACTGAAAGGGTATCTGTTCCGCTTTCCGAACGCCGTTTTGGACTGCAGGATATTATTGCGACACGGATTTGGGATTTGTTTGATGAGCACCTGGACTATGAAGAACCGCTTGATGTGAAAGTTATTACACACTGTATAAATATGTGCTAGGTGAGGGCGAAATCCGTAAACAGCGCTCCAAAAAAAGGAATACGTACGAATCTTTGTTTGAATTAGATACATTATCCCTGGAACGGCGGTAATTTGCAGATTCTGTGGGTCATTCAAAACTGCAATTCGCGCCCTCTACAAATTATTTCAAAGAATCGCTGACTTTAAGTAATATGGGTGGTTTCGGAACACAAAAGTTAAATCGACTGTGTGTGGATGCTCTGTCTCACATTACTAAAGTGGAGCAAAAGTATTCAAACACCGCTTAATTATCATTTATCCATAATTATTCAGACTCCGGTACGTAATTATCGACACGCGACTGTAAAACCACGCCGGCAAGCTCATGTAATAACAAGATTTCGCTTAAAAAGTCAAAAGTTTCCTACATTGAGCAGTTATACAAGATATACTGCATTGTCCATCGCCAGAACACTTATGTAAATGCTGTAATCTTTCAGTTCTATCGAGCTTCTGCTTGCCGCAGAAACAGTCCTGTGAATTGTAAAGTAAAAAAGGATTGTACAACTTCTTACGCATGCACAGTCAGTAAAGTCGTTCTCAACATCCGTATGAATAGCAAACCAAAGAAGCGCCACCTACGTCCAGGACCTGACAACAAACATCGAATGTCATACTCCGTTGTTCCACGAATTTTTTACACGGATGGTCTAGTCTTTATAGTACACATCCAACGCAGCGAAGGTTAACTAGTTCAGTGCTGACACATCCAGTTGCTGCAGGTCGACTTGATCCCAACGCTGTGGACCGCTGTCGAGAAGAACGCTGTTAAATCTAACTCAACAGAAAACTTGAATTACTGTAGAATGGAGCCAGTGAAAACTAAGCCACACTGCGTAATTGCGTAAAGAGCCTACTCACATTTGGAAAAATATGCGAATCCCGGTCCACTGCTCGGGATAGGCCAGCGTCTGCACCCATCCCATATGCGCCTCCGGGACCTTCTCCAACACCCGTTGCGTAACGGCCGGGCAACTGTCGTTGGCCGCGGCTATAAAGCGTTGGCAATTCACAGTGGCGGCCTCCGTGTAGCGGAAGCGCACAATCGGAATAACTACATCCAAACGCCTTTCATCTGCCACCCGCAGGAATCCAGTTTCGCCTTCCGGCCAAGCCATTCCGGCAATGTGGAAAGACCCTTTCAATTGAAACTGGTCGCCGGTTCCATCGCAGACCGTAAAGTTGTCGAGAACGAACGTCTCACAGATGTCCATCGAGTACGATAGCCTACTGCATTCCGTCTGCCCGCTCCGCTCATCTACTCCTGGACACACGGCTCATCTACTCCTGGACACACGAACGAACCCCACTTCTCGGAAGTATTCTTGACGACGAGGAGCGGCAGGCGAACACCTTTGCCCTTCAGAATACGGTAAACTGCCAACATGTTCGACGTAAAGCCATTTTCGTTTTTGTTCAACTTTCTCTCATCAGGTGCTCTTTCGTCCACCAACGCAACAACACGAGTTTTGGCGGTAATGGCTTGTTCCAGTATCGCTTTGAGCTTGTAACTCACAACCGCATTCAGAGAAGAATGAATCCAGCCATGCCAGTCTTCCTTGGGGAGCAGAGAAGGGATGCTAAAGATTATGTGGCGGTGCCGGGTGTGGTCGCCCGAAATCTGTCTCCACAACGCACACACCCTGCAAGCACAGATTATCATAGAAAACAGAAGCCATGTAGTAATTTCAACACACGCGCCAATACCCTAGGGCAAAGCATGAGAGTCGTTGCAATCCTTACAGCAAAATATTAAAAAACGAAAAAGGAAGTGCAGAAACGTACGACTCCCGGAGCAATTACTAACTCGATATAATTAAAACTTGTCAGTATCAGCCAAATAACTGCAGCTTACGTACTGGCTCATTCGTATCTGAGAAAGGACATCCACGCTGAGAAAAATATTGGCAAGGATGGCAGTCGGTAGGCCAAAGATCACCAGATCTTCCGTTTCTGCAAAATATAAAATCCAGTTCTCAGTAATTCTATCGCTGAAATAGTAGCACACAGAGCGCGCAGATCGTAGTTCGGAGAGTCCCCGCTTAAAAATAATTTTTGTATTTTTTTTGTAAAACTAGAAAAATCTGTCGGTACGCCAGCTACACTTACCGTACTGAGAAGGAGCCGTTGTCAAAGTCAGGGCCACAGTCCTACCGACTTGTGCAGATTCCCCTGAAAACTGCTCGGTGAGGTAACTTTCGCACACTTCCCATAAAGAATCTTCGTTCCAGAACATGCTGCGTCCCGGGGCGTCACCGTGCACTTCGGAGCAAATGAATGTGACGGTGTCGATTCCAACACGCACAAACACCCGACAACCACCACAGGAAGCTTCGGCCCAATGACTGAAAGTTATTATGCACGTTACATACAAATTATCCGCTCCCTCCGACCTTTTTAGCCGACAGCTGCTAATGCAAAGGTCATCCGGACCCAGAACAACAAGACAAGCGCCAACTAAAAACTCGGCCATAAAATTCACATTACGCAACAGATGCGCCTGGTCGAAAGGCACGACATCCTTACGGTACATCAGCCCGCTGGGTTTATCCAAACACCTTCCTTCAACAGTCGATGCCGGCAGCTGGGTGGTTAACTGGCGCTGATGCACGATGCGGCGTTCCGGTGAGTATGTTTGGCTTAATTGATCCAGGCTGACAGCGGCTTCTCAACCATAGTAGCCGGTCGCAAAACATACGGTCCGCCGACTTCGTCTTGCAGCGCCACATGCACAGAACAACCAGGAAGGGATAACTGACGATTGAGATAAATCCAAAGATGCGGCCACAGATGTTTCGAATGAATCCATTCTGCTTTGATTGTGCTGGCACTTTGATAGTACTCGCCGTTAATATCCTGAAAGTATCAGCCACCAATGGCCGCTGTCGCGATGCACCAGCACCGTGTTGCCGTAGTTCATTTGGCACGCACCGGAGCGCAGCTCCCTGTAATAGCGGAATGTGGCGGGCATATCGCTGGCGCGGACTGGATATTATGGTAATGTCGCTGAAGATTTGGGTATCTGGGTATCTTAGGGATTCACCCATCGAAATGGTACTTGTGTCATACGGAACGAGTTTAGTGGCTAATCGTATACTTAGGAGTTAGGACCGATAGTGAACTTCTATTCTTCGCGAAGTAAAGAATATTTCTGCCGTTGCACCCAAAGTAACAAATCCCAGGCAACAGTGCACGCTGCCGTGTATTATGCCGGGATCCGGTTTGGCTCATAGTTACATGCACTGACACGGATAAGGCTGTAACAAGTTTTCAGATCTAAGTAGATAGGCACTAACCTTTGGCACATTTGGTTAGGATTTTATGGAGCTCATTCGTTTCGCTGGCAAAAAGATTCGCGACGTGACAGGGGAACCTCGTTCTACTGCATTTTTGAAGCAGAGATTTAGTCTGGCTGTAGTGAAAGAAAATGCTGACTGCTGCTTTGGGCATCTAGCAGGGCGCAATCCGAGGGAAACCGAGAAACGGCTGAAAAAGTCGCCGATGGGGGAATCGAACCCCGGCTACGTCGTTAGATCCGCGTAGGCAGTACCACTGCACCACGGCGCAATACGTTGAAATCATTTGAAAGACTTTATCGCTTTACGTGAGCCGCTTCTCTGCTCACAGGCACTTTGAACATGCGTCCTAGGAGTTTTGACGGCGATAACGATTTCGGCTGTTTTTTTAACGTTTAAATTTCTATCATTTCAAATAGTATTACGCGAATGCACTTCTTGTTACGTTGATGGCCTTTGCCCAATAAAAGATAGTAGATAAGTGTTAAGGGAAGTGGTCCGGTGACTCCGGTATATGGTGCCAAATTCTTGCACATGCACGATATCTTTTACGTTCGCGCACTCCCGAACCCGTTTTTCTTTTGTTTTCTTACATTCTGTAGCCAGATGATTTGTATGCACGGGCGTGAAACCCGTTTGTGCGCGCAACATCCGGTTCGGGATTTATAGGCTAGAAAAATTCCAAGAGTTTAAATGCATTCAGGTGTACCAAAAGTCTCATTATGGACTGATCTTTCTCAAATTTTGAACGTAAATGCACATAAACGCGATTCACGAATAACGTTTTTACAGCGATCCACTGTTCTGGCATGTTTTCTTAAATTTTAAAATCGATTTCAAAAATTTTAAAACTCAATTTTAAATTTGAAAAAAATCATGAAAGTCTGGATCGGTGTAAAAACGATCTTCATGGCCATGTGAATTTACATGCAACTCCCGAACCGGAAGTTGTGCGCACAAAAGGTGTATGCAGATCATCGTCTGCCTGCAGAAAGTCCTAGACTGAAAAAATCTACTGTACCGGTAGGAAGTCACTACGTACCCGAGTTGTGAATTCCTACCGGGCCGAACCTCCTTCCCACTCACGGAAAGCGAGCTAGGGTTTTAAATTCCCATCCGGTCACAATGACCTAACTGTCAAATTCCTACCGGACACAATCACTTGAATGGAAAATCTCTCTAGAATGACGCAAGGGGTCACCACCCATCTGGACAAATGACCAAGGTCAAGGTGGTGAATCCCAACCGATGCAGTCACCTTGTCTACGATTCTCTTCTCGATAACAGTCGCCCTTGATGTAATTCATCAGAAATACCCCTCTTTCCCTTTTTTTTGGTTTTGCTTTGCCCTCTCTTTCTTGTCATTACAGTATTTTGACAAACCATCGAATTTTCGGCTCGCTATAGTCACGTAACACGCCACCTTAGTGGTTGTCCGCTGCCACAACAGTGGGCAGGAGCTTTAGTTGCTACCTGTCGTTACCGTGGGTGGTGGACTGCTGCGGTTGCACCGGGCGGTGCCATCTGGTCGCAGCAATCTGATGTGAACTGGCATCTCTTTTGCTACCAGCTGGAAGGATTAAGGATAACAAGCAGGCAACCAGTTAATGCGAACAGGCTAGCACTTGTGCATCAGGAGTGGGAGAAGCCCCTAACCACATAGTTGTAGCAAGCGCGATAAACTCTCTTGTAGTTCGACAACAACAATCAATGGAACACGGGCTTCCAGTGCAGCCGGCCCCGCCGTTGTGACTAGCCGCTGTCTTTAACAAAATGCGTTGAAATGGCCTGTAACGGCTGTTTTGTCGCACTATCGCATGGGCGCGCTTACTACCGCTATGGTTACAGCGAACTGAAAGAGGGCAAAGAGAATACCGCATCCCCATTATTCTCAGTTAATTATTGTGTCTAGCTACAGCTCAAGATGCAAAGTGAACGTTAATACTGGGTTTTACCAGCTCATTTAAAGCTCATTTAAAGACTTTGGTTTTACTATTAGGCTAAACGACACCAGCCTGCCCATCCGCAAATCTCAATCACACGTCGAGAAAACGTACCGGCACGAAGCAAAAACAGAAAACAGACAGACAGACAGACATACAGACAGAGAGGAGCATGCTGTCAGGAGGCAGCAGGGCACTGCACAAGAATAACATAATACAGTTGAGGGAGAGCACTCAAAGCACAGACGGCAGAAAGGCGAACAGCTGAGCTGGATTAACAATTGTAAGCCCGGTCTTACATTTTCGCGGTGCCTAATAATATTAATTTTGCGAAACTTCCAGTCTGGGCCTGCAGTTGCAGTTAGTTTGGTTCGGTAAGAGCGCAAAATTGTAATGAATTTTTACTGGCCCGTCTTCGGGATATTGCTTAGCGTGCTATCTACTGTAGATTCTAGATGGGTGGTTTATCGCAGATTTGATTGTAACCACGATAATATATTGCAGCTACCTATTGAGTCACCCGAGTACATATATAATGTGTGCTTGACTGCTTGTGCAATCTGCTGCTGTTGATGGCTTCCTGTGTTTGGCTATATCGAAGACTGAAATTTGGTTTTTCGACGCATTCGCTCGTAAACTGTAAACGAACAAGCTTTTAAGTTTAGTATTAACGCAGTCATGAGTGTGATGGTTGCTGCGCGCGTTTCCTGGACCCCAGTTCCGATTGGGAGTCATTTTTTTAGAAATTAAACTGCCTGACAGAGGACGCAGCTGTTGGTTGCGAACAGAAGTGTGCATTATCCAAGTGGTTGACATTTTGTTGAGTACCTTCCAGTTAAGTGAAGTTTTACTCTGTACTAAACTTGTACCTGCACAGAATGCACTTATACGACAACGGAATACGATCATTGTACACATGGAACAGTGTGGACGTGGAACTGGATGGAATGCTGCAGCACGGCTATGTCATCGGCCTGGAAGATGTCAACGGCGTCTCGCCCCGCATGATTGTGGATTTTGAATGTCCCACACACCGGTCGGTACCCGTTGAATACGGGAAAGTCCTCGACTGCTCCAATAAGCTGAAGGTGGATGAAATGTGGATGCGGTGCAGCGACGCAAGCGACATAGAAGTATTAATGCGCGATCAGCCGAATCGTCCGTGGAAATGGTATCCCGGGAAAGTGCTCATACCCAGCTTCGATGGCCTGCCTAATTACGCTCTGGTGGAGGTACTGCTGACCAACTACAAAATCCGCGAACTCCTCCCCCATAGACAAATGCGGCTGCCGCTGTCGGGAGGAGCACGGCAACTCCGAGTGCTTCAAACCGACCATTATGTGGTGCTCTCCAGTGTGTTCCCGAAAGGATGTTGGAACAAGCTGGAGCCAACCATGGCACTGCAAGTTCGCCGTGAAATTCAGCGCATTTACTGGCTGCACATTGTGTCTGTATCTGGCGAAACGTTGACCTATCTCCAGGGGCGCTTCGAAAAATCGCCTCCGGAAGAGGATATGGTGAGATAAAATGTTTTATTGCTTCCTATGGTGCAGCCGTGTGCGATTTATGATTTTTTAATCGCCGCATTTACTATGATTATTAGAAACTCCAGTTAGTATTTAGTAGGCAACTAAATGGGCATTGCAATTTCTTTGCTAAAAGAGGTTGAAAATGATGGTTTATGGCTTGCATATCCTATTTCTTACAGGGTAACAAGATTGAACCACGAATTTAACCTCCCATCCACTTATATCCTATGAAACTGTCCATCTTTTTCTTCGGGTAGGTGAAGACGTTCGCAAGCTGTTGCGATCGCGTACGGAAGGATAGTGAAGGAAAAGTGGATGCTGGCAAACAGGACAACGACGCCAAGCGAAGAAAGACAGTAAACCACGACGCATACATTTGGGCGCTGCCACCGGAGCTTCTAAGGGAGATCTTCCACTCAATGGACACCATCGACCGGCTGCGCTGCCAACGCACCTGTCATCTGTGAGCAGAAATTCTCACCTCCCCCGAACTGTTCCGCGACGTCCACGTACATATGCGGGCAAAACAAGCGGATATTTTTCCGAATCCAAGTTACGGCGCTTACGTCTGCATCTTCAAATACATCACACCGATGACGCGAACCGTTTTCGTGCGGGATGTCGAAACTTTCGATGTTGACAGTAAAGCCGGTGTAGCGATCAACTGTATTCAACAGGCGCTGGAAAACAGCGGTACTTGTCCTATTCGATTAGTCTTGTTCGACAGCAACATGTCCATCGGGCGTTACTGGACTTTGGGGCGTTCCTTGGACAGTCTGCTGCAGGCTTATTCCAGGATAGCACCATGCTGCACTTGTATAATCTGGAGACATTGTGCTATTTCGTACTGCCAAGAAAACTGCAGCATTCTGCTCCGCATTGCAAATGCCCGTTTTAATCTGTGTACCATTAGCGCCACACAGATTTGGGACGTACTGGAAAATCATCTCGACTATAGCGAGCTTCTGGATGTGGAGCTGATTTCCCAGTGGATTGCAGACCAACTGATGGCAAAGTCCGCAAACCGTTGCGCTGACGTCATGCAGGTAAAGCTTCGATTTTGTATTTACTTTAGTAAAGTCATTAGCGTACACCAAGAACATCAGCGTTGCAATGAGCGGCGAACTTTTTTTGCAGATTTTGATGGCATTTCAGAGCTGCGATCCGCGTCCCTCCGCAAACTACTTTAACAAGACGTGGACGATAGACAACCTGGACAGTTTGAACATCGGAAAATTAAATCGACTTTGTCTGTATACTCTATATTGCTACATGCAAAAGTGGAGCGTAAAAACCAGTGTAAGCTGTAACCATGGATCCGGGAAGAAGAAACTCAAGGAACTATGACAAATTGCAAAGTGCCACCAACAGCACCAGAATGCGCCCTACTTTTATGCTTAGTACAGGGAAAGAGGATACGGTTATAGCTATACAGCGGTTGTGTACAGCGGTTGTGGTTTTCCTTTTACAGTTCGTAAATGAGTGTAATGAATACTGAAAAATAAACTGCTGGAAAGTCGACGTCACAGCAGTGAAAGGCAGTGATAATACCATATGTAGATAAACTGAACTCTGCAACTACAGTATGCGTTGATGGGCGATTACTAATTTCATATTGTATTATTCCAGTGAACAAAATATTCCTTCCGTCAAGTAGTCTTCTGCTTCACCAAGAGCTTTCGCCTTTCTACTGTGGATTTTCACCAGACGAGCATTCGCTTGTTGCTGCTGGCGTAATTTTCGACGCCACACCGCCCACGAAGTACGCCAGAGAACAAAAAGACAGATGCGATTTAACTTCCAAACGTCCAGATTGCTCAGATCCTTTGTCGTCCAGCTTCAGTTCGAATAGTGCGCATAGGGACGCGGAGCGCGGGTCTGATACTCCTTCAGAATCTGTAAACCAGCACCGCTGTAACATTACTCCACAGAAAATTTCAAGCAAAATTTTCTATCATACCTTGTAACCTTGATAACTCCGTCGCAGTGTGCTGGAGACTGGCCCCCAACCTGATCCGTGATCCACTGACCAATATGCTTTACCACATCCTCCGGATTCCACTGCCATTGTTGCACATAGACAAGATGCTGTTCCAACACGTTCCAAATCGTTGCGACATCGATGCTGTGGAGATTGAACGCCGCATGTGGAATGTGAAAAGGGATTCTGTATTTATCTGTACGGTAGGTCAGAGACCAGTTGACCAAGGTGATGTGATGACACCACGACGTCATCTGGCTGTACATTTGCGTCAAGTGGTCAACATATGCCCGCAACGTCTATTTTGGTCCATAGACGCTAACCAGGCAGCGAGATACCACCAAGCGATCAATTTGACTGCTACTGCTTGCCACCACCTGTTGGATGTAATCGATGGTGTTCTCAACGTCTGTCCGACTGTCCGTTTTATTGACGATGTCATGAACCGCCGGATCACGGTCAAGACCGGCATCGTGTATGCAGATCAGGCGCGTATCCGGTGTAATATGCTTGAAGATGCATGCGTAGGCGCCGCAATGGTAGCTGCGAAGAACGTCGGGATGCTCATGATAATGCTGCACGTGAAGACCGCGGATCAGCGGCGGCGTGGTCAGAAGTTCTTCCCACAGTTGAGAGGCGCGTCGGCATCGCAGCCGGTCAATAGTGTCCAGACACTGGAAGATCTCAGTCAAAATTTCCAATGGTAGTGCTCAAATTCGTTCGCCGCTGTTCACCGTCTCCTCCCACTTTGTATGTGTTGGGGGTCTTTCCAGGACCTGGTTTGCTGCTGAATCCGCAATAACGCGATATCGGTAGTATGCGAAAGGCCTCCGCTAAACAAAAAAATGACATTAGCTTAAACGTTATAAAACTTTTGTTTTTGCTGCAGTTTGACAAAGATAAAATAACGATATTATATATCTGCAATCATATAATAGGCCTGCGGATATGAATATGACTATTACGGTATTCCCAATACATACTCTAGTGCTGTACTGCCATTTGAAATAACGTTTGCCACGGCCACTCTCTCAACCGACGAAAATATTTTTTTAGGTATACCCACGGGTCTTTTTTGAAAAAACGAAATTTTTGGTAGACGGGAGCCAGTGATATGGCCCTGGATATATGCCAGTATTTAGAATTATTATGTGCACAAGTATTTTATGAAGAATATTTCATGTACATTTTCTCTTCCGGGTACAAATATATAAAATCATTCTGATATTATATTATGTGCATATACAGTATTACCGCGAAACATGTGTGGGAGTGCGCAAACGTTAATTCCCTGGGTATACACCAGCCTCGGGCCATGTGCCGGGTCGCTTCCTTTGACTTACTTTTCGGTTATTCCACAACCGCATTTTGCAGCGTCGCTCTAAATAGGTCATCGAGTCGCCAACAATCGATACAATGTGTATGTAACGGTTGGACTGTATTTCACGCCGCAACCGAATCGCCACTGCTGCCTCCAGTGTGATCCAAAATCCTGGGAAGCTATACGACCGCAGCTTATAATCTTTCGGCTTGATTATTCTGCGCTCGCGTTCCTCGTCCGATAGCGGTAACCGCATCTGCTGTTGGGTGAGAAGTTCGCGCATAGTGCGGGTGTTTACAGTCACATCTACCAAAGCCTGATTCGACGGATACTCGAAGCGTTAAAGTAGCGCTTTGGCGGGATACCATTTCCATGGATGACTGGGCTGGCCACGGAGCAACACTTCCACGCTAGGACAATCGCCGTCCTCTGGCATCCGCGATAACGTGTTCGTCCGGCCGTAGTACTCATTGCTCAACCATCTGGGTCCTGTATTTGCTGGAACAGTCGAGCACCTTTCCGTAGTCAACCGGCACCGACCGTAGTCCTGTGCACCCAAAATCCGCGATCAGACGCTGCGAGCCGCCTTCCACTGTTTCTAGCCCAATAACATGCCCGTACTGCAGCATTCCATTTATTTCTACATCCACTGCATTCCATTCGTAAGCTCATTCCATTCGTAAGCTTGGCGGTGTGCGTACTCGTACAAATGCATTTCGCCTCTCCAGCAAGAGTTTTTTTCTGACAGTTATAACAATAGCAGAACACCCCGAAGATCACAGAACGCGAAAAATAGGTACATTACTACTTACATACTAATCAACTTTGTAAAATTAATGGATCAAGCACCTGCCTGTCGCGTAGCGTTTTATTCGAATTCACATGGCATAAGGTTTTCTTATTTGATGGACTGAAGTTCAAGACATGTTATTTGCGTTCGTTGCTTGCTTTCCCGTAAATTGCGATTGCCGCATTAAGTGTCATTTCTTTATACTTGTTCAAAGTCTCCTGTTTAGTGCACATACGTAAGTGGTAGGGTGGTAGCTATCTATGCCTTATTCACTATCCCTTGCTATGCCGGATAGTGAATAACTAGGCAGAACAGGAATGTAATGAGGTAATTACTTTTTAGTACGTGCAACGCATAGAGGCAAAGGCAGCGCAGCGCAATTTTTATTCGTTCTAATTTCGTTTTGCATAGGACGCCGACACCCTATTAGTATTTTCTGAATTTTTAAATCTAGAATTCTTTGAACTTCAATTTTTTTGGTTCTACCAACCAGAAACAAAAATTATGCCGTTCAGTACTCAGAAGATAGAGCCGACTTCGCTTCAGCACGCATTGAATCCGCGGATATGATCTGCCAACTGATAACCATGCGATGCAGCATATCCGCGATCCGAATTAAAGAAGATCCGTATCTCAGGTGCGCGAAGGGCGGCATCTTTGATGTGCGCGCGTAGACGTCATCGAACGTTCTCCCATACTTACTTTAGATGATAATTACACAAAAACAGTAAATAAAAAATTTAATAAAATACTGCACATTGTATTCTACTAGGTGCTGTAAGTCTCGTATTTTGGTGAATATGCGCTGATTTCAACTTTAATGGTAAGTGTCAAAAGTGGTACGAGGTGCAAAGGGTGATAAAAGTGGTATGCAGAGCCAAATTCTCTTAAATTTATTGCTAGCCTTTTCACTGCAGAATACCACATAAGTTGTAACAATGCATAAACGCGTTCTGAAATCGTGAAAGCGATTGCTACCATACATGTACAAAAATCCGGAGCTATTGCGGGAGTGCCGGCATACTTTATTTAATCAATCTGCTATTCTAAGGGAAAGCGATTGAAATGGAACTGAGCAAGAGGAAGCAGGAAACACCTGCGTATCAGTTTGGACGCTGCCACTGGAACTTCTGAAAGAGATCTTTCTGTCACTGGACAACGTAGACCGGCTGCGCTGCCGACTTAACTGTGGGAGCAAATTCTCAACTCCCCAGAACTCTGCCGCGATGTCCACGTGCAGCTGCGGCCGACGCAATCCGATGCTTTTCTATATTCTGACCACTGTGCTTTTGCGTGCATCTTTAAGCTTGTCACTCCAATCACGCGAGCAATTTATATCCGGGATGCCATTTCGTACGCTTTGACCGGAAAAATACAGTTGCGCACGGGTAACGGCCATATTGCCCGTCACGCGGTCCGCTACATTCAGAAGGTGCTGGAAAGCACCGGCATCCATGTTAATCGTTTGACCCTATGCGACAGCAGGATCACTCGTCCTAAGCGAACTTTGGGGATTCAATTCGAGGATCGGGTGCCGGCATACTCCGCACTGGCATCGTGGTGCCCTCGCATAATGTGGAGGAATTGTTTATTGGTTGCGGTCCGAACACCATTCTGTTCCGCATTCCGATTTTTGTCTCAATATAATTAATACAGAACATATTTGGGATTTTTGTGACAAGCATCTCGTTTGTGAGAGCGGTTGGAAGTGCAACGTATCGCACAGTTGATTGCAGGCCACCAGAAGCAACCAGAAGCTGCACTAAAATTATTCAGGTGGCGTACAGATCCTTTTCCTGCAGAGTACAGTAGAGTATACTACCGTTAAAAGACGACAGTTTTGCAGGTTTTTAAGTTTTTCCAAAGCTGCGACCCGTGTCCTTCGGCTAACTGCTATACATAATCCATATAATGCTAAAATTGCTACACCAATGCTATAATTGCCATACCTTCTGTAATCAACAATGGACACCAGAGAATATGCGCAGTTTGAAAGTTTTGATAATAAATCGACTCTGTTTTTGTGCACTGCCTTACTACATGTTAAAGTGGGGAGGTAGAAAATGCTTTATTAGAAAGGATCGAAGAAGGAACTGATAAAACGTAGACATTAGTACAGCTGCGAATATAATTGTAAGTACATGGTACCACTGATTTGCAATTGCAGTTGCGAAAAATGTCTATTAGACATTTTTCGCAACTGCTCCACTTAACCATAGCACTACACTTAACCATACGCTATGGTTTGCAACTAGCCACAATTTACAATTACAAATTACAACACGAGCACTTTTAACAAGAGCTTCGGAAACTATCACTCATTAAGCATCAATCGACGGCGGCGGCCTAATCACAGAGAAAATTTGGTCTAAATTCGCTCCCATCGGCGCCGTCCCCATGATCGATGCAGCATTTTCTCGCTGTATTTCGATACTGATCCGTTGGCGAAGATATTCCGTGGCTCGTTTTTCGCCGGTTTCTTGACGTATTTTCTGTCCGAATTCCGTTATTGTTCGGACAGCTTCCGGTCCGGGTGGTCCGAGCGTCTCAAAGCCCAGAGCACGGAATAGGTAGTCCTGGCCGATATCGCGATATTTCTCGATCTTGCCCTGCTCGGCCTGTGCTGCTGCTGCTCCCGCTCGTGCGGATGTCGCGACGATGTGCGATATGGCCACTGTATTGACGCACGTTGCGTCCCATGGCAACATCCGTCCTCTCTCCCATGGTGTCAAGGTAACGCCGTCTGGGCGCTTGCTGTCTGTAGGGAAGATACCTTGTGGCTCTAATTCGCTTTCAAAGCCGGCCGATGCGAGGCTGCGCTTCACATTGGCGTTCAGGCATTTATGCGTAGGGATTCGTCCGCGGCTTTTCTTGCAGCTTAAGCCGTGGTAACCGCGGGCATCCGCCCACTCACCGCATACACAGCGGTGTGGGGTGATGATCGGTGCTCCAAGCCGTAAACCAACGGCGATTCGTACTGCTGAGTCTGTAAGAAGGTTGCCAAGGGAGGCAGCCGGAAGCGCACCCAACCATGCGCCGTTTTCTTTCGTGCTAACACCGTTCAATCTTGCCTGTTCGGAGATGTCGTTCCCAGCTGCCGTTCGTAATTGTTCAACGGTGTTTTGGACAATAGGATTGTCCCATACCTTCTGGACCGGTCGCGCGTCATGGTGTGGGAGGTCTTGTTGGGTTACTTCTTGCCGTTCTGCAGCAGCATCACGACAGTAGATCTGTGGTTGGAACTCGATAATTTCCGATGCTAATGGAGCCACCGAATAAGCAGAGGCCAGAAAGGCCGGAAGGGCAAGCTTTTCGACGCTTCGAATTCCGAGACCGCCTTCTATTATCGGGAGAGATGCCTGCATCCATATGTCTTCAGTAATGTTGACATGGGTAATGCTAGTTAAGCTTTGGCGAATGATATCGTCAAATGCTTTTAACAGGGCTTTCTGCTGGTAGCATCGGCTGGCGCGCAGTTTATAGATCAGCTTTACTGTGCCCATGCTGCATCTTAACAAGTACAGAGCCTGATGGGCCGGTATTAGATTTAGCCGCTCCGTCATTCGGGCGATTACCTCCGTAGCACTGACGAGTGCGCCTGCAACCGCATCATCGTGGATTTGCGCACCGAGGTAATGCAGATCCTTCAGCTGGGGACAAACCAGGTCTGGGTACGCATGAAGAAACGCATCGTACACAGTTTGGCGTTCTTCCTCGGAGCCTCTGATAACCATCAGCTCGCATTTTGCTATATTAAGCGTTAGCTCGCGCACTCGTAGCGCCTCCTGCAGTGAGCAGAGATCGTCAAAGACATCTTCAGGGCCTCCGCCGAGCGCATCATCGTCAAGAAAACACTCTTTCAGCTTCGACTTCAGGCGTTTGTGGGGTCCAGTAGTTGTAAGGCAGTACAGTAGCGGGCCTAAAGGGTCTCCTTGCTGGATGCCCGCCTGTGAAGATGCACTGTACATGCCGTGCAACAGTACTGATGTTTTCACCGTAGCACTGCCACACAAACTTGTAGTACTCCGGCATGAACTCTTCGGCAGATTTAGGTATGTAGTTTCGGTCAAGGGAATTGAAGGCATCCTTGACATCTAGTTTAAGGAAAACCTGTGGCTTGTCCAGAATTGCAGCATCTTCGATAAAACTGCGTGCGGCATGGACAGCAGCCTCCACGCCCCCTTTCGTTGCGAAACCCAGCTGAATT